GGGATTTAGCTCGATGGTTCTGCCGCCTGCCTCGCAAGCACAAGGTCCTGAGTGTGATCCCTGGTACCAAAACAAAACAAAACAAAAAAAGAGTTGGCTGCTTTGTAGAATGTGATTTTACAGTTAGACTTCACTACACAAAGGCATTTCCTGATTAATTCTGCTGATCTAACCGGGCTGTTAAAAATGGAGGCCATTCAGACATGTCGTGGCAGGGCCTCATCCCTGGGGACAGCATCAGAAACTTTTGCGTGTATTTTCTAAATGGGCTGATGGTTAACAATATGTGCATTTCCTACTTCCTGACACATGGGTCCACTTACCCCACACAACCCTCCACACTACTCTGCCCGTTTACAGCACCCGCCAGGTGGGCTGCAGAGCTGCCAGCTCCTCGGGAAGCTCCTGTCATCCCGAGAAGCAACTTCGGGGAGAGGTGCGGATAACCAACATTAACCCTGCTAACTGACACTAACCCTGCGGGCCAGGGCCCGTCTCCTCGGGGCCCCGGTCACCACCCCCCCCAGTAACATTTCCTCCCTGTGGCCAAGAGGTCTGCACAGTGGTTGCCACTCCACATCCGCTAAGCTGGCAGGGCAGGGACTTGCACCCCAATAAATTATTCCAGGGAGCGTGGAAAACTAACAGCCAGGAACGCGGCCTCTAGCAGCTTCTGCCGAACCTCTGTCTGGCCTTGCAAAAAATATTCTTGAACTTTGGGATTTATTACCTAATTACGACAAGGAATGGCACAGCCATTTAATTAACTTGCCCTACACCAAATTTGAAGCTGTGTTTACCTGTCACCTATATGTCACAGCGGAGAACAGTCTCACATGTCACCGACAAACAACTCGAGGTGTGTCTACCCGTCCACCCCGACAGGGAGACAGCGTGGAGACCTGACAAGCAAACGTACAGCTCTGGGCGGCTGTTGTTCCCGTGTTTAGCTCCAGAGGCAGATGAGCTGAGCCATGTGTTCGAATCAAAGTAACACTCAGGGAATGACTTTCATCAGTTCTCCAAGAAACACAAATGGGAAAACAATCGAACATTTTTTGCAGCAAAATTATTTTATATAATTTATGCAGAAATCAAAGTGTGCTGTCGATTGTAAGGAAGATGAGGAGAAAAAGAACACCCTAGATTTCAAAAAGTAAAAATTAAATTCCACACTTACAGGAATGCAGTAAAGAAAAGACACCCCCACTGTTAGAATTAACAATGCATATATACGCAAAGTGCAAAGTATAGTAAGATGGAGAGATTTTCCTGTTAAGGAAGGATTAGGCTGTTAAGGAATATCACATTCTTCTTTCCAACCTTTATTGAGTTTTCAAATTCTGAAGTACTCTCTGCTATAACATGCACAATATTCAACATATAAAACTTGCAGATAATGTCACTTAAGAGAGTGAGAACAAAAAAATCAATCGCTTTCCTGTATATGAACAACAGACTCACTGAAAGAGGAACTAGGGAAACAACTCCCTTCACAATAGCACCCCAAAACTGAAATACCTAGGAATCAACCTGACAAACGAAATCAAAGAGCTCTACTCTGAAAACTACAGCACTCTGAAAAGAGAGATCGAAGAGGATATCAGAAAATGGAAAGACATCCCTTGCTCCTGGGTGGGAAGAACCAACATAGTGAAAATGGCTGTACTTCCAAAACTGCTATATAGATTCAGTGCAATCCCAATTGAAATCCCAGCAGCATATTTCACGGACCTTGAGAAAACAATCCAAAAATTCGTTTGGAACAAGAAGAGACCCAGAATAGCAAAAGCAATTCTAGGCAACAGAGACATGGCAGGGGGTATCACAACCCCCAAATTGAAACTATACTACATAGCTACTGTGATAAAAACAGCATGGTACTGGCAAAGAAACAGACCTGAGGACCACTGGAACAGATTAGAAGATGCAGAAACTACTCCAGACATACTCAGCCACCTCATCTTTGACAAAGGAACCAACCACCCTCATTGGAGGAAAGATAAATTTAATAAATGGTGTTGGAAAAACTGGATTTCAACCTGCCATAGATGAAAACTAGACCTGTATCTCTCACCATGCACTAAACTAAAATCTTAATGGATTAAAGATCTAAATATTAAAACAGAAACACTAAACCTGCTGGAAGAGAGCGGTTAGGTAGAACTCTTGAAGACATTGGTGTAGGAAAAGGTTTCATGAACAAAACCTCAGTTGCACATGAACTAGCACAATCAATGAACAAGTGGGATCTCTTATTTAAAAGCTTCTGCACAGCAAGAGAAACCACCAACAGCGTGAAGAGACAACCCATGTGGGAAAAAATTTTTACCAGCTGTTCCTCAAAGGACTACTACCTAGAATATATAAAGAACTTAAAAAAAATCAGACCTTCCAAATTTAAAGATCCAATCCAAAAATGGGCATCTGAAATGAACAGACATTTCTCAGACCAAGAAGTAGAAACAGCAAATAAACATATTAAAAAATGTTCAACGTCACTGGTCATTTGAGAGATGCAGATGAAAACAATGCTGAGATTCCACCTCACCCCAGAAAGAATGGCTGCTATCAAGAAATCAACCAATAGGGCCGGGGATTTAGCTCAGTGGTTTTGCTGCCTGCTGCGCAAGCGCAAGGACCCGAGTTCGATCCCCAGTACCAAAAAAAACCCCAAAAAACAAAAACCAAAACAAAACACAAGAAATCAACCAATAACAAATGCTGGTGGGGCTGTGGGGAGAGAGGAACCCTTCCCCACTGCTGGTGGGAGCGTAGACTGGTGCAACCACTGTGGAAATCAGTATGGAGATACCTCAAAGAACTAGGACTGGAAGTCCCATTTGACCCCGCTATTCCCCTGCTGGGTATCTTCCCCAAAGAATTAAAAGAATCATACCACAGCGATATATGCACACCGATGTTCATAGCAGCAGAGTTTGTAATAGCTCAAGCCTGGAAACAGCCCAATTGCCCATCAACTGGAGACTGGATAAAGAAGATGAGTGTGTGTTTTTTAATAAAATGGAGTACTACTCAGCCATAAAAATGAGAAATTAGAGACATGTATAGCTAAATGGATGCACATTGAGGCGATACTCTTAAGTGAAATAAATAGGACAGAAGTGTAAATACCAAATAGTTTCTCTAGTGTAAGAAACTGAAGGTGTAAATAAGGACTAAAAGGTATAATAGATAATGAGAAATAGGAAGAAAAGGGGCAAAGGGGAAGGGGAAGTGGGAGGGGAGGGGGAAAGGAAAGAAAGGAATGGAATTAATATGAGAAAATGGAAAAATCAAACAAAGTCTATGTAAATAGGGAGGGGTGAAGGGGTTGAAGGGAGGGCAGGGGAAGGGTGAAAAACAAGAACCAAGAGAGACTATGTAAAGGTGCAAATTTCCAACGATGAATGTCATTATATTGTATACCTAAAATGTACCAATAAAATTAATTTTTAAAGAAAGTTTAAAAAAAGAGAGTAAGAGCAAACACTAGATTATAAATACATACTATATAAGAATGCAATTATAGAGCCCAGCATGTGGCACATGGCTATAATCCTAGTGCTTAAGAGGCTGAGGCAGAAGGACTTCAAGTTCAAGTTCAGCTGAAACTACGTAGAGAATTCAAGGCCAAGGCCAGCTTGGATGACATAGCATTAGTGTATCTCAAAAAGCTTAAAATACACACACACACATACACACACACACACACACATTCCAATGGTAATGGAAAAGTAGCCAGGTATCTGAGACCACATCTGAAAGGTGTTTTTAAATTAACTCTCAGTATTAAAAAGGCTAACAAACTCCCATTGAATGTGTTCATTTAATTCCAGCTAATTTTGATTTTCAGTAGCTAAACTTCATACCATCATTCAGCACATACTTATTGGTTAATCTATGCCAGGTGGTCAGGTTAAAATAAGGGAAGAAAAAAGAAATATCTCTGTCATTTCCTTACGCGCCTGCATATTTACCGCTACACAAACTGCCGGAGCCCTACAGTACTGATATTTCTTGACAAAATTTTTCCCCAAAATCCTTGTTTGGAATCAACAACTCGTAATTCAGTAATATTCCAAAGAGAAGTTACGATAAAAGACAGGGTTACTTGGCCCAAAAATATGCCAGCAAAAATGAAATAGATACCATTTATTTTAGTAATTTCAAGTCATGCTGTCAAAATATAAAATTCAATGTTCTTACATAATGCTCAGTGTTTTTCTTTTACTCTGTTCCTGATTGCCTTGTTATATTTTTAAAAATTGGTGTTTATGTCGCTTGGCATTTTATGTGCTTTGATAAAGTACATATTGCTTTATTAAACCATGGTGTGTTTAGGCAGCACTAAAGTATTAAAATATGCATCTTAAAAAGGAAAGGATTTCTTGCCAACAGTTTTATTATCCCAAATAATCAGAGGCCCAAAAAGCCGACAGTGACTGGTAAACTGAGGCAGCGTGCGCCAGAGGCTCCGCCTGGCTACGAGCGCGGTAACTATGAGCACAGGTGCCTCTGGACCCATGCAAACACCACTTCACCAGGAACCTGTCTGCTTATTTAAATCCACTGAAGTCACCGGGTGAGCAAAAGCACAAAGCCCTTGAACAAAGGGGAGGGCGGGAAACGTGGACAGTGGAACGGGCTGCCAGTGTGCAGCTCGGGCACACTAGACCAGCGGAACTGCTCCGTGTGGGGTGCCGGGTCTACGGGATGTGAGATGGATCTCCGCAAAGCCCTTTTAAAAGGCTCATCAAGCTCTCTTCTCTGAAACTCACAGGTCGCCTCCCGTATTGTCCAGTTCTTACATCCCCAACACTGTGGTCACTAAGGGCTACTAATTTTAAAGGTAACAACTGAAGAAATACAACATCCCTTCTTTGGGTTCAGTTTTGCTCAAGTCAATGGGTGCCTTAATTACTTCTTCATATAACTTTAATATAAACCAATTGCTACGGACCAGACTAAAGCAAACAAACAGAAAACCCTTTTTATACCTGGTAATCCAGAATGCTGAATCCTAACCCTTTATGATCTTTCACCAGCTCAACAATCTTGACTTCCGGGGACCACAGGGCGAGCTCTCCGTCCTCCTCTTCAGCACTGGCTGCGATGCTCTGGTCTGCCTGAAACACCAACGGTAAATGCTTCAAAACCATCTCTCTGCTCTAAAAAGAGCGAGCACATGAGGAGCCTCACAGTGTCTTCTCAAACTGGGGAGTTCTCTCCACCGTACAGTTTCTTTGTGGTAGTGTTAAAAGCACCATGCACTGGGCATAAACAGTCAGGACAAGATCTTTGTAAAACTCCAAGCATTTAAAAATGCTAATTGTTCACACAGGCTTTTTAAAAATGCAAAGTACACACTTCATTGAAAGTATTAACACTGACCTCTTATACTTCAATGAGTTCTCTCGTCCCATTAGAAGCATAAAAGGAAAAATATGCAATTTAAGTAAAAATAAAAACATCATACAAAGTAGAAGTGTGTAAGATATTTCAAAAGCAATACCCGGACTCATAACTGCAATGACAGAAAGGTGACTACACACAGACAGGTAGAACAGGACACAGAAAAACCACTTCTTTAGGCTCCAAGGAGTTTCCAAAAAGTTTTACTGGAAAAACAAGGTGAAAAAAATCCCAATTCCTCAGCATTGTGCAATTCCAAAAATGGGTAAATATCACTGAGTTGCACTAACAAAGATCGGGCTCGGAGGAAATAGGGCTGCACAAGCTGCCCAGCCCGCAAGCCCTGGGTCTCTCTCCTGACTTCCAGCCCCGCGGCCCCTCAGTCCCAGCATCCTGCCCCTCGGTCAGGCTCCACGGATGTCCAGGGCTCGGGCAGACAGCCACAGAGCCACGGCCACGGGACAATGGCCACGGGACAACGGCCGTCCCCACCCTCCTGCGTTCACACTGTTCGAAGCATGGCATTTCATCTCACGTGTCTTCCCCAGATGCCCCGACCCACACAAAACTCACAAACATCTTTTTCTCCTCTATCCCTCAGCACTAATCAATGCTGGCCCCGACCTGCAGTCCACCGCAGAGCTGGGCTCCCTGCCTCCGCTGCCTCCTGGTTGCTCCCAAATCATCTGTTTAGGACGTTAATGAATCATCGACTTTTCAGTGTATTTCTCTTAAAATGACAACTTTTAAAAGCAGACTTCTTAAAACTGTGATCTCAGTAGATGAAATGGAACGCATCTCTCCTGTAATCACAGTCCTGGGTGACCTCGTGAGAAAAGTTCTGGATGATCTGGGAGGGGACCCCTGTAATCTGGGAGCCAGGGCAGCAGAGGCAGTGCAGAAGCGTTTTCAAAGAGGCCCGGCCCAGATCTCGGGCTGGTGTGGTCGGACACGGTAGGTCAGTACCCAGCCCGCCACGCACTGAATCTAAACACGGGAGGGGTTCTTGGTCCTTCGCTTATGAGCAGGAATGTTCTAGATCAATAACCTCTGGGTATTTTGGCCACATGTGAGCAAGAGACATACTGAAAATGAAAACACTTAATCTTCCAGTGAAGAGATAGTTCCGAAGGCTGATACCAGAAGACTGGTGCTCTCCTGGGCGGTACTTAACACCCTGGCTGATCAATGAGGATTAGGACTCGGCTGAGCCGCCTGGCCTGACAGAGCTGGAGAACATAAGACTCCATCGGGATAAGTAATAAGAGAGACCAAGGGAAAAGAGAGCTGGGATTTTAAGAAACCACATATAATTACAAAACAATAAGTTTATAGAAATGTCAAGGCCTTCCCCAGGTGTATAAGACAGCACACTCCAAACTAAAAGGCACCACTCTGATGCAATCAGCTCTGCACAACTCTCGCCTCCACAGCACAGAAAGCAATCAGCTAGTGGACAACAGGCTGATGCCCGGCATCGTTCACACAGCGTCTGCCCACTGTGGGAGAGCGTGACCGGAGCCAGCACCTGCAGGCCCACGTGGAAGGCGTTTCTCAGCTGTCAGGGGAAATCTCCACATTTCATTTTAGTGAGGGCAGCAGAAGTCATGAAAGCTTAGCACGTGGGAGCCCTCCTTGAAATTTTTTTTTAATAAAAGATAAAGTTAAGAGAAATTGTAGATCAATAATAAAAAATGTACTAAGTTCCTCTTACACGCCAGTGCAGAGTAGAACAGTCTGAGTCACAAACTAATTTTAGGAGATGGCCTCTGCCCCCGAGGAGCTGCCAGTTTTCTTGGAAAAACAAGACTGCTGCACATTAGCAGATCTGGGAATTGGCCCCGCTGCACCTTAGGAGTCAGAACTACAGCAGGCATGGGAGTGGGACAGATGCCGAGCCTCACGTGCGGCCCACGACCTCCGTGTACCCTTCTCACACAACCCCACAGCAGGGTCTCTAAGCGGCACCGCGCTTCAGAAGAGCATGAACAGCAAGCACGGTCACTGCCCGAGGACGCACAACTGTGGGTGGCAGAGGCGGGGTGAGGGTCCACAGACGCCGAAACCCAACCCGGCATCCTGGGTGGGCAAGCTTGGCAGCAAAGGGTACGGGTTGGGAAGAGTGGCTCAAAGAGGGTCTCAGAGGGCAGGAGAGGGCAGAGTGAGCGCTCAGAACCTTTCCTAGTCTGCTGCTCTCAGCAAAGACTTCCAAGGGCAGAGACACTGACCACCTCCGACCTTTAGGACTCCCAGAAGGGGAAGGGGAAGAGTATCTGGCTTCAGCGCCCACTGACACCTTAACTGCACCAAGGTGAGCTGCACTGAACTAGGAGCCAGAAGCAGAGTCCGGGCAATTCCTCAAACAAGTGCTCCAAAATCAAAATGCAGGCGCATCCAGTTGGCAACATTTGGAAGGAAAGAAAGCTGCAGGATGCCAAGTGGGAAGCATCAGGTTACGCACTGCTGCCTGAGCAGAGGAAGAGGGGCCAGGGCAGGTGCCCTCTCTTCGGTTTCCAGCCCTCTCTCAGCTTCCCTGCCACCTGTGATGCCCGTGGGCACCGCACCGGGCCACTTGGTACCTGCAGCTCGGGAAGGGAGATGTCCGCGGGCCTCGGCTCGTCCACAGAGGCCTCGTCATCAAACAGGCGCCGGCAGCACACCAGGGTGAAAGGGGGCGGCACTTCCTTCAGGAAGGAGACAGCTTCCCGCCGGGACTTTCCGCAGAGCTGCACTCCATTCACCTGGGGAGAGAAGGGAGCGGCACTGAGACCCCAGGGAGCAGGAAGACCCTCGAGTGTCGTCTCCACAGTGAGGGTTGGGCACGGTCTGATTCTCCCGGAACATGGGCCCGAGTTTCGTCATACTACTGGCGTAGTTACTAAAAATGCTCCAAATCCTCAAAATTGATCAAAATTAAGGCTGAACCTTTACTGAACTTGGGTGCAGCAAGCATACAGTGTGTGGAGAGCACAGCTATGGCTTCAGGACCTCCCAGAGTCTCACACCTCTGTGGTTTCTCCTCCAGCTTTCCAGGACTGTCTCCTCCCGCTTCTAGCAATCTCTGTGGAAAGGCACTGAAGGCCGTGTCCAGCTGTGGAGTCGGCGCCGTACTCGAGGCTGTAAAAGCCGTGCCCCACCATGTGCAGGTGCCAGCATCAAACCCTACTTACTCCCAGGCCCTTCGTGTCGCACACGGATCTTCCATGTACAGAGATCACTTCCATGGACGAGGAACATGTGTGACGTGCAGCCACCCCACTCCTGTGAGGGGTGCTGATGCGGCCATCGTGTGTCCACCCCCGAATCACTTCACACAAATGTTTATGTTTCAGAAAAGACTCCTTAGTGATGATTCATCTTTTTCACCAAAACTCACCCGCATGTCCTATTACTCTGTGCACGACACTGCAGCATGGATGGACACAGGCGCAGCCTGGCTAACTCGTTACTTGTGTGACTTCGGCTCCTGGACTCTGCCTGACCACAGGTTCCCGGAAGATGACCTGTCTGCTCCTCCTGCTGCAGGGACCAACTCCTTTTCTCTCCTGACTCCTCCACCTGGGGATGCAGCAACATCCCGGAGGCTTCCAGCTGGCACTAACTTCAGATAGGGGCAGTGCCACGCCCTGGTGCCCACAGGGCTTGCTTTCCAGGTCTGTCACTGCACGTGAACATGAGGGCTTGGGTGCTGGAAGCCAGCAGCAGGTGGGGGGCCACATTTGTGGTCCCTGGGAGCCACTGGAGCCTGTCACAGGCCCAGCATGCAGCCATGGGCCACGCCTCCCTGACGCTTAACTATTCACAAGGAAACCAGTGCAAGGCAGAGCCCTAGTTTTGGCCCCACTGGAAACACGGCAACCACGCCACAGCCTCAGAGTTCAGGGGATTATGTGGGGACCCGGGGACAGCAAGTTTGCAGCAGACGGAGGTTCCTCCTCTGAGGATCCGCAGAGCAACCTCACACAAGAAGGGGCAGGGAGGCCCATCCCAGTCACACCACAGCCACCGCGCCCACCGCCCAGCAGAGCACGGGAGCCCCACAGTGAGCCACGTGGGCGGTGCAGACAGCTGTAGGTGGGAAGCAGGTGCTGCAGCCATGCGAAGGACGAGCTTGGGCCTCACTTCCACATATCGCAAAGTTGCTGCTCAGGTTTTTGTCTTGGAGGACCTGTAAATATGTATTTTCACATCCGTAGAAGTAGGAGTTTCAATGCTGTTTTATTTGTTTGCTGGGCTAGCAATGAAATTTTTCAATCTAACTAAGTCTCTTGAGAAAGTCTGGTTATGGCTTCTATCTAGATATCCCCCCAAAGCCTCATGTGCTCATAGGTGGGGCTTTTCAGAGGTGGCTGGATGTAGGGTGTGTGATACCGGGATTAAGGGTGGGTAGTTACTAAATTCATCCACTGATTGGTTTAATCGTGTATCTGGGTGTGGAAAATGAGAAGGGTGGGCGTTACTACCCAAAAGGTGGGTACCCTGCATGGGATAAAAGGGGAAAGGAGGCTGCTGCTGCTTGTGGCTTGCTACTTCCTGCCTACCCTGCCATGGACTGTTCCTCTTCTGTGACACCCCTCTGCTGTACTGCCTCCAGCTGACAATGTATTGAAATCTCTACAAACTGAGCCAAATAAGCCTTTCCTCCATTAACTTTAGGTGTCAGCTATTTTGTCTCAGCAAAGAGAAAAATAAGACAAGTTCCTTGACAGCAGATGTGCCCTGGTATTGGTCTGACGGAGTCCACCCCAGTGAGAGTCCAGTTCCAGGGGCCAATCTGAAGAGCAACTGTGCACACATCAGCTACACAGAAGCCTGGAGTCACTCAGCTTGAACTTGTTAGAAAGAGACCACAGAACCTGCAGTAAATGTGACCACACAGTACAAACAAGGGCCAGGGACTAGATCCTTCACTAAGAAAAACCCAAATGATGCTATCAGACTTCACTCTTGGTCCACTGTTAGATAAGCACTCACGAGGACATATCAGGAACCTCAGCAGATGGGGACAATGGCCTGAAAGTGTGACACCCACTTCCCTTGTCGCCCAGGAAGCTGTAGTGTCTCTAATCCAAGTGGCCAATGCTTCATTAGCATCAGTGGCACTGTAACTCAATGGACACATATTCCGGGACCTTAAAAATGTCCTGCCTGGCCTCTTTCTTCCTCCATAAATCTTACCTCGAGAAGCTCATCTTCCAGCTGCAGGAGGTTCAGGGTGTCCACAGGCCCCCCGGGAGTGACTGAAGAGATGTAGTGGTGCCCATCGAAGGAGTCCACTTCCATGCCCAGCCTCAGCGTGTGGATTGGCAGTAGCTGCAGCAACATACAGAGCAGTGGCATCAACAGGACACGGACACACTCGCCTGCTCAGCCTCCAGCGGGGGTCACTCAGATGGCAAAAACCACCCCCTGGACTGGCCACCAAAACCCCAGAAGACCACGATGGGGCAGGAAGCCTCAGGTGAAGTGATAAAGCCCCTGGCCTTCTTATTCTCCTTCCTTGCTCCCTCCCAGGCACCCTGGGTGTGGGCAGACAGGTGTCGGAAGTCCTGCCTTCCATTCTAGGCCCCACACCCACACTTCCCAGAGTGCCCAGCGTGTGTGCTGCGCCCTACTTTCCTATGGGCTGTCCACCCCAGAAGACCCTAAGCGGGTCATTACCCAACGCATTTCCTCCTCGCCAGCATCAAAGCAGTGTCACTTCCGGGAAGCTGAGCTCCCGAGCCTCTGTCCAGGGTCCCGGGCAACCCCAGAGACTTACAACATCCTATATTTAGAATTCTGTTCTCCCGATTCACCCTCCACTGCCCCATCTGAACGCCAAGTCTGCACCCTTCTTCCTGTGGGCCCTGGAACAGCACCTGGCCCTGCATCCAGGCTCCCTGGATCCTATCTGATTGAATTAATCTGTGGAAGATGTAGTTTCCCTTGTGGCCACTTCCAATTTGCAGGCGGTAATCACTATCCCTTCCAGCCTCGGCCCCGTCAGGTTATAAGCATGTGTGGCCTCAGATGGGAGCCGAGGGTTGAGAAAGTGCAGCCAGCCTCCAAGAAAAGAGCGGAGGCCTTAGCTGCACTCATCTTCACAGGCTGCAAATGTCAGGGCATTCACAAAGCCCCCGACCTTCAGAGGCGGAGCCAGTGACGCCTCGCCATGGCCTCAAACTCCAGCAGTCAGCACTGCTAGCCATTATTTAAGTGTCCTACACCAACAGCCTCTTGGGTACAAACCGCAGGCCTCTCACTCTACTTGGCATGGGGGAAACCCTAGAGGGTGGCCATCAGCACACCGTGACCCTCACTGTGCCCACTGACCCGAGCCCTCATCTCCACTCAGGCACTGGCTCTCAGTCCCAGAATCCCACAGCTCTTGCTTCAGACACCATGGGGCTCCTTTCCAGCCTGTGACAGAGACGCAGACTGATGCAGAGTGCCAAGGAGCCCAGTCCAAGGGGGCCCAAGGCGGGAGGGCTCCCCCTCTGATGGTCTGCACACGAAGTGCTCCTGCCACCAAGCGAGCTGGGTATCGGCCATCCGTGGCACAAAGCTGTCCCAGCGCCCCGGCAGAAGGTTACAGGCTTTCTCTGGCTCTTCCTTCGCTAAGGTTTCCTCATCTCCCGTGGCTGTCGTGTTGCTGTGCTCACCGCACAGGGACAGAAGACAGCAGGCATCTGAGCCACTCTGGTCACACCTGGTGGGGCTGGCACAGCTCCTGGCTGCACCCACCTCTGCCAACTGCCCTCCTCCCTGGGCTCTGTGCCCTGGTAGAGCTGTCACCAGCCCTGGGGGCCACTGGACCGGGCTCCTGGGTCTGTGTCCCCACTCTACCGTTCCTCACGCTCCTCTAACGCAGGCGAGTGTCAGGCCCGGGGCGAGTGGCACCCACGGCCATGTGACCCCAGCTCTTCCACACTCGAGAGCCCGCTGCACCCCGGAAACACCTTGCCGCCATCCTGGGACCTTGGGGTCACAGTGCTGCCCTAGTTTCTCCAGCAGGGATTTACAGCAGGTTTGTACCAGTCACAGTGCTCACCTTTGAATACTTCTGCAGCTCAGCGTCATCTGCAATCTGGGGGTCCAGAGTGGCGACCTGAATAAACAAGAAGATGTGCACGTCTGTAAAGGCACTAACCTCGACTCTCCCTGGGTTTCCTGAACAATCTGCAGGCACAGGATGCAGCTCAGTGGTACCGCACCTGCCCCAAAAGCACAAGGTCCTGAGTTTGATCCCCAGGACCAGAAAAAAGAAATCTGCAAAAGCTAAGTATTGATAACTCCACTGAAAATCTCTTCCCAACAGTTCTGAAGTCTGTACATACACGCCTAATGCAAAAGTTCTGAGTGTGTTTGGCTTTTTTGTTGTTCTCTACATCAACTTTTTCCCTGCATCAGCCAAAGCAGTATCTAGTATCTGGGATGGGTTTCGGAGCCCCACAGGCAGGTTCCGGTCCCTAGATAGAAAGGGGCCGAATATGCACACAATCTATGCATGGCTCCCCACGAGCTTAACTCACATCCAGGCGACTCGAGCACCTCGCATGGCGGAATGCCACACAGGTGGGCGTCGTGCAGTGCTGGGGTAACAAGGCAAGCCTGTACGTGTGCAGCATGGGCCAAGTTTTTTAATATCTTGAATCTGCATGTGTTGGATCTGAGCATTTGGAATCCAAAAATACAGAACCAGCAGACACAGAGGGCTGATCGAGTATGTTCAGAAATCCACGATCCCAGCAGGGCATGGTGATGCATAGCTGTACTCCCAGCACTCAGGAGGCTGAGGCAGGAGGATCGTTGTGAGTTTAGGCCAGCCAGGGCTACACACTGAGATGCTATCTCAAAACACAACAACAACAAATCCACAATCCCTAAAAGCCAACGTGACCCCCTCCATTATACCAGATCCATAAACATTTTACTCTTTGGCTGTTTTTACTCTCAAACTCGAGCCTTAAAGTGTGCAAGGTCAGGAAAGTCCACCGAGTTGGGAATCTGGGGCCTCTGACTTCCCAGCAAGCTCAGCCTCCTGAGGGAGCAGCTGGCCAGGGCCCCAACAGAAGACCCGGGCCCCATGGGAAGCACCAGAGCTGCCTGGCCTGGCCTGGAACCACCGCACTGCACCCCGGGCTGGACAGCGTGGGCGCCGCCTGCCAGGCTCCTGCTGTGCCTGTGAGCTGGCGGAAGCAAACTGAGCCCCGCTACAGCCGGGAGCACAGACTGCCAGCAAGTGGACCCGGCAGAGGGCGAGGAAGAGCCACGGAGGATGTGTCCATCCCTCCCCGCTGGCCTGTTTCTTCCACCCATGACTCCTCAGCTGTCAGTGAAAGTGCTGTCACTTTCAAGCTTCAACTTCAAATTCCCTGCTCCCCTGCAATGAGCTCACTGCATGAGAAGTAAAACCTGTCAAGACAGTTATGTGCAGGGCAAAACTTCAGCAAAGAAGAGCCCAGTGGTGAACTACATTTCCTCAACTATCAAAACCACAAAGTGTGATCACAGAACTCAGGAGGCTGAGGCAGGAGGATCACTGTGAGTTCGAGGCCACCCTGGACTATGGAGTGAGTTCAAGGCCAGCCTGAACTGCATAGTGAGATCCTGTTTCAAAAAATAAAACAAAACGAACAGTAAGGATAGCAGCAGGGCCATTTGCTAGGTGCCCAGGGCAGCTTCCTGAACCTGTGAGGTGGAGTGGCTGCAGCGGTGTGTGAGGACAGAATGAGCAAGAACAGAGAGCAGGACCCATGCAGGCTCATCTTACAGTGACGCTGGAAATGCTACGGCCTAGACAGCGGCTGGGCATTCAAACCCAAGGAGAGGAAAGGGCTCTTCCGCCAGCCAGCCAGCATCAGTGGCAAACGCGCGTGAGGAAACGTGGGAGGCAGGAACCTGGAGGCAGCTGACTGGGGTCCCCGGCAACACCATCGAGACAGCTCTGGCTGTCACAGGGCGCGCACATAAGTGAGCCCTCCCTCGGTGGCTCGGCAACGGGGGGACGGGGATCTAACGGGCCACAGGTGCGGCAAACCTACACCTCAGCTAAATGACTTCCTGTTCTTCAAATACACTGGATAATCACTTTTTCATTTTTCTCATAAAACTGTAGGATTCTCTGTGAAACATAGGACTAATATCCACAGCACGTTCAGTGTACAATAAAACAAATAGATCATAAAAGCAATCATAAAAATGCCTGCAATTGTAAGCAGCTAGCCAGGTTATAAAATGAAAGGCAAAACCTTTCTCCCCTTGCATTTTTCTGCCCACAGTCAACTTAGACGGTTTCAACATGACTGGCCGTCTGCTAATTGCAACTGAAGCTCGTGTGCACTTTGTGATTGTTCTTAGGACTTAAATGTCTAGAAAAATCAATCCATCGATCCAATGGAGAAGAAAGGCAGGCAAGCAGGCTCTGCGTGCCCCCGTTTGAGACCGCGCTTCATTAGGAGATCTGCACTTACCATGACCTCGTAGTCAGGGCCCAGCAGGCTCTCCCATCTGGACTTCAGCTGGTTTTCTGCAGTATCCAGGGCTTGTTCTGGACATAAAAAAAGAATGTTGAAGCTGGGAGTGGTGGCGCACGCCTGTAATCCCAGCACTCAGGAGGCTGAGGCAGGAGGATCACTGTGAGTTGGAGGCCAGCCAGGGCTCCATAGCAAGTTCAAGGCCAGCCTGGACTACAGAGCAAGACCCCATCTCAAAAAACCAAAAAAAAAACCAATGTTGAAGCTACCAGGAGCCGCACATCACCATGACACTCTTCAGTAAGAGGACAGCTCTGTAGGTCGAGGGCATGGACAGGTAGGGGAAGGCAGACGCGCAGGTGAAGTAAATCAGAGGGGCGACTCATAGGCTGAGGCCGGGACAGTGGTGAGGGGGCTTTGGTTGTGAAGGGGAGGTGATGCCTCGGTGAGTGTGAATCATCTCCGACGTGTCTGTAAGCATGAACCTTGCTCTACTCTGTCCGGCACATTGGACTGAGTTCAGTGCTGACCTCTGCAGAGCAGGAGCCTGCACCGCCCACTGGGAAAGCTTCACTAGGATGACTTTACCACCCCAGGGCCTGGCCAGATGTCCAGCCTGGCAGGTGGAGGGTGCCGGGGCGGCCAGGCTTAGCTTGGAGCCATGCGAGGCTCCGTGAGTGGAACTCTGGCTTCACACCAGCCCTGCTGCTCCCTGCTCCAGGGACACTTGCACCTTCGTGGTTTCCTGGAGGTGATGTCTCGTGCTACGTAGGTGAGGTCATTAAGTGGATTTGGAGCTTCCACAGTGCCTGGCAACCCCACTGGGACAACACCTAGCAGGGCGCTGCACCTGCGGGGTCCACTGCGTCCACACTAAGAGCAGAGGGGGAAACAACTTCCACTTTCTTCCAGCTAAGCTCTCCCGCTGCCAGCAGGTCCAAGCACCTGTGTGACCGACACGGAGTCCGGGTGACACCAGGAGCAGCAGAGTCACCCTACATGACAGCAAGGCAGATGCTGAGGTCCACGGCACAAACCTTGGGGCCTCAGCTCCGCTTGGAGCGGGACCAGGACCGAGGTTGCTAGAGAACACCGGGAGGTCAGGGGGACTGACACGAGAGGCGACAGGAGGCTGATGGGCCAAGGAGCCATGCAGAGCAGGATCTGGAATCCACCTGGGCCTGCTCCTCACGGAACTGGACTTCCAGCACCTCACACCACCACCGCTTGTTTTCAGACATCGGCTTCTCATCCGGGAAATGCATCTGAGCCGAAGCTCCGGCATCCCCGAGGGAAAGCCGGCATCTCCAATCCTCGTCCCCTTGCTCACATGTCGGGACACAGCCGAGAGTTCCAAAGCAGTGCGAGGCTCCTGGACGGAGGACCCTCCTGCTCTCAGCCCCGACACGTCCGGCCGCACCAAGAGTCATACTGCGATCGATCAGGGCTGAACTGAGCGAGGGCACCAGGGCCCAGAGGGAGCTCACTTCACAGCGGCCCTCCGCTAACCCCAAACACACAGATCAGGGTTCTAAGACTGATTCTAACATTGGAGTGCGCGGTCTCCACCCGATGCTCCACTGAAATCAACAGGAGCTCGGCTGAGTTAAAACAAGTGCCTAGGGACAGGCAGGTTCCCGAATCCAAAGCCTCCCCCAGTGCCAGGCCTGTGCAGCTCAGCGTGCTTGCACTGGACCTCAGAGGCCACAGTGACAGCTGAGGCATCAGAGGATGAGGTCACAAGACAATTACCAAGAAAAGGATGCAGCAGCCTGGGGCTCCAGGGCAACATAAAAATGTTCATGTTATTAACTTTTGTCATGAAAAGGAAACACTGATAAACGTATATAGACAGCTGCAATGTAAGCTACGGAGACATTAATGGCAATATATGAGCTAAGGCATGCAGTAATTAAAAGTGCTAAGGACAGAGTAAAAATAGCCATCATGTCTTCATAAATATGCGTTCAAAACTAACACAATTAAACAAACACTAGGCAAGGGTATGTATGCCTGGTCCCTGACTGCCACAAGAGTTAAGATTCTCACAGTCAGAATATGCCTTTTAATCCACATGTAGTCCCATACTCAGGGGCTGAGGGTGGAGGATCACAAGTTCAAGGCCAGCCTGGGCCACGTAGCAAGACCCTGTCTCAGAACACAGAGACAGAAGCGAACCAATGCCCTATTTTGGATCTCAGAACCGCCTCTGAGATCACTCAGTCACAGTCCCTGCAGAGGGTGTGGCCAGCAGATGAGGGAGCGGCACCTACCCGGTCTCCCTGGGGCTGCCGTCCTGTCTGGCTTGCGATCATCCACCTCTTCCGCACTTTCTTCATCTTCTTCGGCATCCAAGTTCGTTTCTGTCTCCACTGCTCCGCTTAGGAAGAGGGCTGGTGTTTCGGTCCGCCCCACGTCGGACCCTAAAATGAGAACTGCTGGTGAATCCTGGAGCCGGAACCAGGGGCAGATGACCATCTGTCGCTGCCGCGGACCCGCTCATGGGTGATTTTCATCCCTGACTCCTTTACCTGAAGTACCACGGGCGATAATCTGCAGGAGACAGTGATGCTGACTGTGCCATGCAGGCTGTGACGAGCTAACCCTACAGGTGCCTTGTTTACAGGAGTGAGTCTGCCCGAAGCCTGTGTGCTGAGGTCAGAGTAACTCACACCCAAACTCTGTTCCCACAACGAAAACCTCCTGACTAGGACAGTGTTCTAATTACAACCATATATTCTGTCTACTTGGCTCCTAACTCGAGAATGCTTCATCTTGTCCTTCACGAGCCTTGGTTACATTATTTCCATAGAAACCACACAACTGTGTATCCTCCAACACAGGGCTGCCCTTGAGCATAGCTTACCTTTACCCCAACTGATTACCAGGAAAAGTCAGTGCCTGGACTGGCCAGCATCTTCGTTGGTGACCGGCATTGGTCATCCTGGCACCTTGCTTTCTGTCTCTCTTAGTTCTGTCTTTAGTGTATTTTTTCCTTAGGCCTGCATCGTACACTGGGCAGGAGACTGGAGCCTACTGCAGAGGTTTCTGGTAAGGTTTCAGGGGTCTCCAGTAGTAATCAACTGACTACAAAAACAGCATCATAGTACCGATGTAAAAGGAGGGGACTGGAAGACAGAAGCAAAGTCGAGCCAGTGACAAAGCAGGGTGAGTGCTTTTCAATAAGCTTGAAAAAGAAAAAAGCACTGGGCGTGGTGGTGCCCATCTATACTCCCAGCACTCAAGAGGGAGGCTGAGGCAGGAGCATCCCCGTGAGTTCCAGGCTGGCCTGGGCTCCATAGTGAGTCCAAGGCCACCATGAACTACATAGCGAGACCCTTCTCAAAAACCCTAAGTAAGTAAAGAGACAAAAAGAGAGCAAACGGTGCCAAGGTTTTATGATGCTGTTGTTGTAGGTAGAGTGTGGCAAGCAGAATGAGCGGCCCTGAGGTCGTGGTGGGGAACCGGGGTGAGGGCGACACGCTCACAGGAAAGGAAGCCCCACGCCCACTCCACTGTGCTCGCTAACTGCAGCCACGCAGAATCATCGGCAAGACCCTTCAGGCCTCTCAACCCTAAGACGAGTTGAACAGGAACCGTTTCCGGTTATTTTCCAATGCCTACACATCATCCATCAGGTATTCTTATCAAAAGCTGTGAACCCCAACCTCAGAAAGGCTTTAGCTTCAAGCACGGAGGAAACACAGTATGCCAAGAACAAGTTAAATAATGGCACAAGGAACAAGTCCAACTCCGGACACAATGTTCTGGCAACAAAAGGCCTGCTCCTCACAGAGCCTGGGGCAGGCAAGGCCCGGGGCCCTCAGCTCAGGGCAGGTGGCTACAGTCTGGGGCACAGCTTCTCCTGGGACAGGTGAAGAAACCAGGGATACCCGAAAGAAATGGGAAACTGGAAGAATTTATGCGTGCATCTGGCATTGTATACTAGGAAATTTTCATTCACTTCCTTGGTGATATAAGGAAATATCCTGATTTTTATAAGACAGACTTTTATACACCCAGCATCCCGATGTCTGCCGCTCGGAAGTGACTGAGGGGGAAAGGACAAACAGCTGAGGTAAATATGCCAAATGTTAGCTGCTGGGTCTAAATGACGGATCTGTGGGTATTCACTGGTTTTCATTTTTTTCTGTATGTGTAGCATTTTTTAACAATTAAAAAATTTGAAGCTAGACACAATGGTGCATGCCTGTAATCCCAGGTAGATGGGAGGCTGAGGCAGGAGGATCCATACTTCAAACCCAGTGTTGGCAACCTGGTGATTTAGTGAGACTCAGTCTCAAATTAAAAAAATGAAAAGGGCTGGGTGTGTAGCTTAGGGGCAGAGGCCCCTCAAGCCCCTCCCCATTCAATTCCCAGTAGTGAAGAAGGAGGGAAAGAAGGGAGGGAGGGCACAGGGAATATACAACCTGTTCACACTCCCTGTGGTCTTGGTGTGAGATTTTAAACCACACAGGAATGTTTTAGGTCATTCATCCACTGACTGCCAGAAACGCACGGCCTAGAGCCGGAACAAGAAACGCCAACCATTTGAGCAGCATTATCTGCAGTAACCTGGTAGAAACAACCCGAGTGTACTCTAGAACAAATGCATAATCCCAAGTGGCATAGACAAACTTCGGAATATTACCTAGCCATGAAAAAGAAGGGAATCCGGCCCGTTCTGTAGCCAGGAAGAACCCTGAGGGTGCTGTGTGTGACATCAGCACTGTGTCTGCAGGAGAGCAACACTTCCAGTCAAACTCACAGAGGCCCAGGGGGTGGAGGTGGCCGCTGCAGGCGGAGGCCATGTGCCTGTGCTGAGCAACACTGCGGATGCAGAGGCTGTGGCCACACAAAGAGCAGCACAGCAGCATCCTCGGAGGGCAGGGCCGGGGATCCCAGAGGCGCTGTGGGGCCACACACAGCAGGCTACAGGACGGAGCCTCCCTGCGTGACAGTCTCACTCACACTGGTGGGGACAGGGCAGTGTGCTGAGGGCCATCGTGCAAGGCCTTTGAGGTCTGCTGGGGAGGCTCGAGGAGAGGACCCAGAGCACGGGGCAGAGTGTGGCTTTAAACCGGGAGTGGGGGGCACACCTGTGATCCCAGCCCTCGGGAGGCTGAGGCAGGAGGATCGCCATGAGTCTGAGGCCAGCCTGGGCTACACAGTGAGTTCAAGGCCAGGTGAACTACATGGTGGGACTCTGTCTTAAAAAATTTTTTTTTAAATTTTTAAAAAGGTGCAGGTTTCTTTTCTGTAAGTGAATCAAAGCTTCTAACAGGAGTCTTCTATTACAAATCAGATAAGGTGAGTGCACAACCACAAAGAATCTTTTAATCCCAGCAGCTCGGGAGGCTGAGGCAGGAGGATTACAAGATTGAGCCCAACCTGGGCAACCTAGCAGCTAGTGAGATCCTGTTGAGAGAGAGAGAGAGAGAGAGGGAGAGAGAGAGAGAGAGAGACAGACAGACAGACACCCTGGGTTCAATTTCTATCCCCAGTACTAAAAAAACAAAACCAAAACTAATAAAAAAAAGTTTCAATAGAAATCAATTTCGATTGAGAGCAAAGCCTTCCAGGTCCCTGTCTTCAGAGAAGTGTCTCCAGAGGGACGTAAAGCTGACTCATTCATTCCTTTCTGGCAAATGCTCATGGCGACGCCCTTCTAGCCAGCTTGATACCGGCCAGTCGTCCCTTAGTCAGGGCTGGACGTCAGCTTCTGTGGACACGATGCGTTCAGACTGAGTTGGAGGCCTCAATCACATGCTTCTCCCAACACGGAGACTTGCTATTTTAATACTAAATTTTCAACGAAAACTATTTTACAAATAAAAGCTCTGATCAATTCACCTTTTACTTTCTTTTTCTTTCTTTCTTTTTTTTTTTTTTTGGTACCGTGGATGGAACTCGGGACCTTGCGAGGCAGGCGGCGGCAGCACTGAGCTCAATCCCCGGCCCACGTTTTACTTTCTATTGCTACCCTTCAAGAAGCAAAGTGCAGGGATTAGAACGGAGCGCACTCTGCACCCTGACGGGAGGGGCCCGCAGCAGCAGCCGCAGCCCCAGCCCTGCCTGGGACCGGGCGGGCATGCTTTCCCATCACACGCTGGGGCTTCGGCTGCTGCTGCCCCTTGGTGAGGAGTCCCGCTCCCTCCCTCACTGAGGCCTCCTCACCCACACAGCCTGGTGGTCCCTACCTCTCTCAGCCGGCCCGGGCCGCCTTCGGACCAGAGTGAGACGCACCACGCGGCCTGAGCCCCGCAGCACCTGCATGACATCCTGGTTGGCAAGGCCCTGGATGTCCACTCCGTCCACCTGGAGTGCGGGGTACAGGGGACAGAAGCTTCACCCGCGTGCAGGGAGTGCGCGGAACACAGAGGTGCTCCAAGGGCTTTCTAGAGCGGGCGGACACCCCCACCCCACCCCTACCCCCACCCCCGTGTGCGTACACACTACGTCCAGCCCGAGTCCTCCTGCCAGCGCGAGTCCTCCTGCCAGCGCGCAGCGCTGCATCCTCGAGGGCTGGGAGCAGACATCAGAGTGGGGCCACAGGAGGACACACCACACTCAGCTCCCACACCCGCCCCACCCGAGGCCCGGCGGGCGGAACTCACGGCCACGATCTGGTCGTCCACGTGGATCTGGCCGCTGTGCTGCGCTGCGCTGCCCGGCACAATGCTCTTCACATAGACGCCCGCGGGGGCCCCTGGGTGCGGGCGGAGAGTGCTGTCACCCCGATGCCCACCGCCAGCTCCCCAGAGCAGAAGAGAAGCACATGGCAAAACCTGCGTGAGCTCAGCAACGTGAAGTGATGCTCAGCCCTTCTACTCTAAAAGGGGGCATCTGAGCAGAAAGAAACAGCCGGGCGCAGAGCGCAAGTCCACAAACACACGAGTTCCCCTGGGAAAGCTCCAGAAAGCAAAAGGGAAGAAATGGGATTTTTTTTTCCTCGTTAATTCCAAACGAACCCAAAACACTGCAGCAGGAAATCTCTCCTCAAGGCTTCCCTCACCTACAAAGCAATCACAAACTTCACAGACACACGTCTGAGGTGCTCCAAAATCTGGAAAGAAAACTTGCTCTTTCCCCGTCTGTACTGCATCTCTTCAGCAAGTCCTGACACCCCAGACTGACCTTCCACCAAAACACACCACCTTCCTGATTTTACTTTCTCTCACTGGATTCTTCCTTCCTATCAACCTCACCCCTTCTAATTCCTTCTTTTTTGTTCCCAGCCCAAACACTCCCTCTTTATGGATTCTCATTTCCTTCTGTTAAATCAAATCTTTCATCTGCCATACCATGATAACCACGCATCTATACAAAAACACATATTTCCATTATTAAGCATTTAAGTCTGTTACATGTTTGTCTCCCTACACACTTTCTTTTTCTTTCCATTATTTTTTGGGGGTGGGGTGTTGCTGTGTTCCCCAGGCTGGTCTGGAATTCCTGGGCTCAAGTGATTTTCCTGCCTCAGCCTCCCAAGTAGCTGAGACTATAATCGTGTGCCTGGGAATCCACACTTTTCTTATATTCATTTTTCTACAACCTCCAGAACTAAGCAAAGTACCCTCAAAGGTCCAATAAACCGACTAGAGCAAAAATTATCTTTAAGATTATGTATCAGAGTAGGTCTGTCCCGCCTTCATGAAGGAGTGTCAAAGATGCATAGATACATTTTCAAACCATTTCAGCTAGATCTGTTGAAATAACACAGCAAAGTACCACAGGAACCAGACCAAAGAATTGAATACAGAAATAATTATATAAAAGAATTCAGAAGTGTTTATCAAGAAATGAGATTGCTACTTTTAAACAAAATAAAATTTGAGGGCATTCTGATAATATTTTACAGAGTTAGGAGAAAACAACTGCTAATGTAGAATCCACAGCCAGGTAAACTATGATTCAAACATGACTAAATATTACAAAAGTTTTCAAAGAGCCAACAAGCTGCAAAATTAAGCAACCAAAAATTTCCTAAAAGTGCTAAAAAAAAGGCTTTGAGAAAATCATTGAAGATAGGAAAGGATGCCCCAAAAAAAGAAAAAGAAAGTAAATATGTGGTTACATCTAGACACTTTTTGAGTAGTCAGAGTAATAGTGGTAATTACTAACTTAATGAGGATCAAAAAAGGAAAGTAAAATACAAAAATAAGACACAAAAAGGGAGAGAATGCTAAAAGTTAAGATATTTTAAAGTCCTAGAGTTGTTTGGAGATGATTAATAATTGCTGGTCATAAATGAATGAAATGTTTTAAAGAGAATGTAATCATTACAAATAGCATGGAAAGGGAGCAAAAAAAATGTTCATTTCAAAAGCAAAAAGCATAAAAAAAGGCCTGTCTATGTGCCATAATTTAAATGCAAAATGTTAGATGCAAGAAATAAATACTGATTCATAATTATCACAATCTGTGTAAGCTGACTAAACTTGCAAATTAAAAAGTAAAATATCATTAATGGACATCTCAGTTTACATTGTCACAATTAAAAGCAAATGATAGGAAAGTAGAAAATTAAAAATATTAAAGAGATAAACTAGGTACTTGCTAAACAGTTGATGAAAAAGTCAAACCATTAGTCAGATATAAATTCCAAAACATGTATTATCTTTTACTAAATTCAAATAAAAAATTGGAACATTTCTCTAAATTAACAAAGAAAATTAACAAATTGTCAAACATGATTGAGGATTTTTGTCATCTTGCAGCAATCAATCAATAGAGAGAATAGGGAAAAATAAATAAACATATAAAAAGAAAAGATTATGTATCAGAAAGAGCGTAGCAGGCTGGGCTGCAGCTGAGGGGCAGAGCATTTGCCACATGTGCCCGAGGACCAGGTTCCATGCCCAGCACCACCCCAAAAAAGCACCTGGAGTTTTAAAATATTCTAGTTTTTGGATTTGTCTGACTGTCTCCCCAAACCACTCAAATCCCAAAACTTCATTTGAGGGTAAAGAAGAAAACATGATTGTTAACTTTATTTAGTAACATAAACATCTAACGTTCTCAACTTTCCACTAGTCATTCATTTTTATTTAGGAACTAAGCCGTAAGTTTAGAAACTGAACCATAATTCCTGTAACCAGACTTACCACATTGACAACTACTCAATACGGTTTTTTGCAACATTATTATAAAATCTATACTTCGCTCCTTTGGAACTTATTTAAATTCTGGACCTAAAAAAGGTGGCATGTAGAAGAACATGAAGGTCTGAAAAAAAGTATGTCATTAGGCTGAAATAGCATGAGGTGGGTGACAAGGCTGCCGCTGTGGCCCGTGAATACATTAGCACCCTGATCTCACCACCTGCTGCACGCAGGGTGACTGTTTAACATAAGTCGACACTCTAGCCTCGCTATTTTTGAGCAAAACTAAAATATCTCACAACTGATTTTCATGTGACTAGCAAATATTTATGAAAAGATTTATTTTCCCTTGCCCTAGTGATTCTCTTCAATGAAAGGAAACTTTAACTGTGAAAGTTACCAAAGCTAACTCTAGGTAAAAGCTGTAGGTGAGGTGGGAGTTCATGGAGTTTTATTCAGTTTTATTCAGAGCCATGTGTTTATTTTCACCTGTTATTTTACTTTCATGTACTTCCTTTACAAGAAAGGAAAATAATTAAACAAATTCTTGTTTTATCATTTTTCAGTGATTAAACATAATAATAAAAAATTTCAGACCTTCATAATGTGCATATGCAATAATCAACTTCATCACAAACACAGCACCACGTAACACACAGTTAGGAGCTAATACTGAAGACATAACAGTTTTGGGAACAATAGGAGGCACAATTCAAATGTTATACACTGAATCGGGCAATTAAATTCCTTTGTCAATGACTTCCAGCCCAGCTACTAAACTGCTGAGATGAAAATGTGATTCTCTGAACACTGAAAAGTAACTGGCTGCTATTACAGATTCACGGTTTTATTGTTCAAGGATTAAATTAAAATCTGCAGATACTTAATTTCACTCTCTGAGAAACCTTAATGTCCTTTACAATTATTCCCACATAGAGGATAGAAATGGTTCATTTACCTGCACGAGATGTTCCAACATAGCCCACAATTCTGATGCCAAGGCTCTGTCCATCTTTCTTAATAAGTTCGACGTTGTAGGTTTCAGAAGGAGAACTGTCCTGAAAGGAAATGGCAGGCTCGAGCGCCTGTCTGGCTGCACAGCTGCGCACACAGTCAGCTCAGGAAGAGCCCTGGGGGTTTTCTGAGATGAGCAGAATGCCAGGCTAGTCCCGGGCCCTTCAGAAGCAGGGTCCACTCCTGCCAGGAGCGGAGGGAAGGGAGAGGACCCTACTCGGGAGCAGGGACAGGCGGGGACCTCAGGAGGTGAAAGGTCGAGGGGCTGAAAAGGACCCGCATCCTGTAGCTGGGGATGGGGTGTCTGGAAGCAGGAGGGAGGCAGTACCTGGGCCAGGCTGGGTCTGCGGCTGCAGGGACTCAGGCCACAGCAACAGGAAAGAACAACCATGCAGGAAAACCTCACGTGGCATTTGCACCCAAAACAACCAACAAAGAACAGGGTAGAAGCAAAGGGAGGCTAACTGTTTCGAGTTGTGTAAAAGGATTGACCCTAAACGTTTTCTAACACTTGTCTTCTGAAAGCTAGACACGCAGCACTCTGCCTCGGGTCAGAGAAGCACTGCAGGCCCCGTCACTGCTCAGGTCACGGCCCTGAGCCCTGTTGGGGCCTTCACAAAGGAGGCTTCTGGGGTTGGAGGAAGGGAGGGAAAAGAAAACAGCTGTGACCACTCTGGATGAAAATGTATTTTTGAGAGTGCTGGGGTTGAATCCAGTGATCACTGAGCCACATCCTTACCCGTTTCTATTTCTGAGACAGGGTCTTGCTGATTTCCCCAGGCTGGCTTCAAACTTCCTTTGTTTGAGACAGGGTCCCACTATGTAGTTCAGGTTGGCGTCACACTCCCAGTGATGTTCCTGCCTCAGCCTCCTGGGTGCTGGGATTACAGGCGGGCACCACCACGCCCAGCTGGGTTCAACCTGTCAATGCTCCTGCCTCAGTCTGCCAAGTAGCTAGAATTATAGGCATGTGCTACCATAGCAGAAAGATTTTTTTTTTTTTTTTGTACTGAGGATTGAACCTGCAGCCTTCAGAATGAGTTGTATTCCCAGTCTTTTCTTTTTTAAAAAATTTTGAGACAGGGTCTTGCTAAGTTGGTAAACTGCCCAGGCTGGCCTGGACTTGTGATCCTCCTGCCTCAGCCTCCCAGAGAGCTGGGATTACAGGTGCATGCCACCACATTCTTAGCCAGACCCTTTGCAAAAATAAAAAGAACTGGGGCCATTGCGCAGTGGTAGAACATGTGCCCGGCAACACCAGGTCCTGGGTTCCATCCCTTGCACCAGGGAAACAAGAAAAGAAAAGAGGCAAAGAGAAAATGTCCAAACCGGAAGGGAAGAGCGCGGGAGCGGAAGGAGATGTGGGGGAACAGAGGAGCGCGATGTCCGAGCGCCGCCTCCCGGGAGGACGAGCCTTACCTGAGGCGCGCGCGGGGACACCGACCGACTGACAGCAGACCCCCTCGGGGGCGCCCGGCCCGCGCACCCCTCTGCCCTCCCCCTCCTCGGCCCCTGCTGGAGGCCCTTTTCCTCGCACTCGCTTTACCGCGCTTCTTTCCAGCAGAGCCTGAGGGGCAGCGGGAAGCGGAGAGCCCGGAGAGCTCCGAGTTCCAGTCCTGCCTCGCGCCCGCACGGTGCTGGCCCCGGGTCTCCGGCTCACAGCGCAGGGCAGTGACCGCAGGGCGCCGGCCTGGGCTGGGTATCAGCACCGGTGTCCACGCGAAGCCTCTCCTCGCCTGTCCCCACCTCCTCGTGGGGAAGGTGAGGCAAAGCCCACGGCTCCCCAGTTCACACGGAAGCTGAGGCTCAGGGGCAGACGACTGAACCCCGCCAGGCACCGTGGTGCTGAGGCAGGAGGATCGCTATGAGTTCAAGGCCAGCCTGGGCTACACAGCCAGACCCTGACTCACAAAAAAAGCACACAGAAGCCAGGTGTGGTAGCCCACGCCTGTAATCCCAGCACTCGGGAGCCTGAGGCAGGAGGATCGCCAGGAGTTCGAGGACAGCCTGGGCTCCATAGCACAGGCCCAGCCTGAACTACAAAGTGAGACCCTGCCTCAAAAAACAAACAAAACACACGCAGAGAAGCCTTGGCCCTGAGAAGCACCACAGGAGAGGCCAGCCTCCCTCCCCGCTCCTGTCCTGAGACCCTGGCCGCCCGCACTCACCATGGCAGGGCTGCTGCTGGCAGGGGCGTCCAGGCCGGGCAGGGCCACGGGCGGGGTGGCAGGCTCGGGAGGCGGCACCTCGAAGTCCCTGGCCAGGTCTCGGGCCACCCGCATCCGGACCGTGCTCCCACAGGTCCTCAGCACCTGTGCCACCTGCTCGCTGGTCATGCCCTGCACGTTGGTGTCGCCGATCGCCAGGATGTGGTCACCCGTCTGCAGCCGCCCGTCCTTTAACCCAGGAAACAGAGGTTACTCAGAAACGAAGGCTCCCTCCCTGGCCCAGAGCAATTCCTCGGCTTCCAGCGCTGAAGAGCCCGGGGAGCCGGGGCACGCTGAGGTGCGAGGCGCTGGCGCTCGCTGGGCCCTGAGCCCGGAGTGGGAAGGCCAGTGGCCCCACACTGTGCTGACTCCTGCCCAACTCGATGGCCCGGAGTATGCATGGCCGGAGACCCCACAGGGGCTCAGAAGCCGGACTCCAGAGGGGAGGGGACAGAAGCCTCCACCAAGGCCACCGGCTCAGCAGCAGCTCGGGCGGACAGGTGGGCTGGGGTGACCTCCCTGGCTGCTCCTCAGCTACTGACAACAGACAGGGGAGAGGAGACCGAGGAGACCGTCCACACCGCGCCCTGGGGCTATGAGAATCTAGAAAGATACCACCTGAACTAGGGCGTCGTGGGCCAGGAAGCAGATTCCAGATGTGTTTTCAGAAGTGTCAACAGGGTCTGCCAGACAGCTCCTACCTGGGGTGTGGGGAGGGGGGGTCAAACCCCAGGATTTAGCCTCAGTAGCTGCAAAAGGTAATGAAGACCCAGAGGAGGCTGAGGCAGGACTACTGCTGTGAGTTTGAGGCCGGCCTGAACTACTAGGGAGACTGCTGTCTCCAAAAACAAAGACACAGAGGGAGGCTCGGGTAGGGGAGAGGCGGGACCCGGATGGGAGCTCAGGGCAGGCGGGGATTCGGGGACATCGGCGTGTGGTGCCAGGCTTCGTGTTGCTGGCACATGGGAGGCGTGCTCGCTCCTCACCCTGGGTTCAGAAGGGACGGACACGCTGCCGACCTAGAGCAGCAAGGAGGGCAGGCGCCCACCTGATGATTACCACACTCCTTAAATGTGCAGGGGCACATGGATGTTCTTAAACGCACACATATTTCACACGTAAGTGAAAGACATCATCCGCCCAAATGTGTCTATCGAAGTGTCTGCCATTCCCTTTTCCCTTTGTGGAATTTTTGAAACAGGTGAACCTTCTGCATTTTTATGAAGTTTATTCTATCAGAAATTTTGACTTCTCTTTAATTCATTACAGCATCCTGAAGATGTCAAAATGTCAACATAGCTGGTTTTAGAAAAGCCACACCTGCAAGGCCTTACAGGCTGAAAAGCACTTTCCCATGCCCCTCACTCCGAGGACAACTTCAGACGGGGAGGCTGGCGGGGCCCGAGCTCTGGGAGCTGGGAAGGCTCTGTCCACGCTGCCCACCGCTCCGCCAGGGCCTCCTGCCTTAGCGTTGTGGAGTGGCAGCGCTGAAGCAGGGCGGGCGGAACCCAGCATGTGCCCTCACTGCAAGACATCGCTGCGACTGTTGGAAAGTCTCCACAAAATGAAGATGAAGAGTAGGCAGTATGTTGTGGGGCAGAGGGTGTAGCTCAGTGCCTACAGCCAGGAGGCCCTGGGTTCAAGCCCCAGCACAAAGGCAAGAAGGAGGGAAAACAGGAAGGGAGAGGGCAGGCGGGCAAACAGATACCTTGCAACTGGAAGAGGAAGAGAGCTTGAGAAGAAAGCCAGGACCACGGAGCTAATCTGGGTCCAAACTGCTAATCCCTGTTCTGGGCGGCACCCTGCCCAGGGGTCTGTAAACTACAGGTGAAAAAACCCATTTTTTTCTGTACCAGGGATCGAACTCAAGACCTTGCACTTGCCAGGCAGGCACGGTGCCACTGAGCCACATCCGCGGGCCTCAGGTGAAGCTTTGGAGGAGGAAGACTTAAGCCTGCGAAGCTCCCTGCTCTGCAGGGCCCAGCCCAGGCTGGACGCTGGGTGGCCCTGCAGGGAGGAGATGCAGATCCTCGCACCCCGACTAGAGGGTAACGGATGCCGGGGTCCCCGGAAGAGGGCATCGGGCGGCTGGATTCTGCTCGGACAGGGATCAGAGACTGTCTCCAGCCAGGCGGCATGGAAAGCATCATGAGCAGCCACTGCGGCGTGAAGGGTGCCGGATGGGAACCTGGGGCAGGCAGAGTGCGCAGTGCCCACAGGTGCGTCTGCGGCCAGGGGCACCGTGGCATGTGGCTGGCTCGAGTCCTTTGCGGCTCTATTTTCTTCTGATTTTACCTCAACTCTTAATTTGAAGTGACGCGGTAATTTGCATCTGTCACTGAAAGTCAAACATCTCCTCTGGCAGGAAAGCAGGTGTTCTGAGCAAAAATAGTCGCAAGATTGACGGAAAAGACACCGCAGTGACAGCTTGCTGTCTGTCCAGCAGCACCCAGGACTGCGGTTCCTGATGACAGCCCCTTCCTAACCCGAGCCAGGAAACCAGGTCCCTCCTGGTCTGAGCCGGACTCCGGCTCTGCCAGCGGCACCCAGTGCCAAGCAAACACATGCTGGGCACTTCATGAGCTGCAGGGCCTTTGAGAGAGAAAACCCTGCATAACCATCCACACAGCCAGACAAGTTAGCAGCTTTGGGGCTGAAATTTTATTTTATATTTTAACTTCTCTGATACATTATTGTGAATGATAGTTTCAACTGGAAAACAAATGTTTGAGCTGGGCTTGGTGGTACAAGCCTGTAGTCCTGTCATGTGGAAGGCTGAGGCAGGAAGACCCCTTGAGCCCGGGAATTTGAGGACAGTCTGGACAATATACTAAGATTCTATCTCAAAAAAAAATTTTTTTGAAATCTACAGTAAGTCAGGGCTGAACTACAAAAAGAAGTAATCAATTTTTTTTTCAAAAGCTAAAAACAAGTACAAAGACTTCTATAACTCAGACTTGCTTTGGTCTCATTCCTTTATATCCCCATTTGTAACTTTTAGAATAAAAATTTGTATCCTGTGCCATTAAATGTTAAAAGTGTTGAACTTTCTTTTCATCTGTGCAGGGGCTTGCAGCTAGGAGATGCCTTAGACCTCAGAGCAGACTTGGGGCTTGGACTTTTCAGCAGTGCTAAACTGTTAAGACTTTGGCAACGCTTGGAGATGGACCAAAAGCCTTCTGCACAGAGAAATGTGCGGGAGGCTTTGGAGGGCTGGGGCAGAATGCTATGGCTGTGTCCAGATGCCCCCGAAGCCTCATGGGTCACAGGTGGGCGTTTTCAGAGGTGCTGGATCTGGGGTGTGTGGCTGATTCATGGTACATGCTGGGCTCAAGGGCACTAGGATTACGGGTGTGAGTGCTGCCCACCCTAAGCAGCCTGGATGGGATAAAGGGGCCAGAGAGACGCTGTTAAGGCCCCTTGTTCCTTTTGCTGTTCTGGAGTGAGCCAACTATAAACTGAAACCTCCACGAACTGTGAGCCAAATAAAGCTTTTCCCCTTTAACTTTGGGTGTTGGGTATTTTGTCTCAACAACGAGAGAAAAATAACTAAGACAATTAGTGAGAAGACTGCTGCTTTCTTATATCTGCGCCAAAGCCTTGAACATCCATCTGGCTTAAAAAAATACAGCTGGATTCTCCTATGGGGTCAGCGTTTAGTGTTCACCTGGTTGCGAGATGTCTTGGTCACAGAATGTGAGAGAAATTTGGCCTCATCAGATACAAAGTCTTTAATGTCCCTGCAGCCACTCCTGACATGCTCATACTTGACAAGCAGAGCTCAGTAGTGATGGGGAAACTGAAGCCTCATCACAAACCTTCAGACACTGCTGCCCTCGGCCCTTGATCTGTTAAGCATAAATTACTTTGTCATAACGCACGCTGGTATTCAGAAAATACTGATTCAGATCTTCTACGTATCGAAATACTTCATGTATCATAAAAACAAATCAATTGGTGACTGTCAACGAAAAGTCTCCAAATATTGGGAAGTTTAGGCTTGTGGTAAATATAATTTTTTATTCTAATTTTTAAAAAGCTTTAAACGTATCATTGCCAACTAACACTATCATAGTTTTCCTGGGCATAACAGACTCATTTTATTCATTTTCGAAGGAATTCCCATTAAATACTTCATAACATAATTTTTCTGACAGTTATTATTTCAAAGATAAAAACTCTGCTCTGTATTAAAAAAAGAAGAAAAGATCTAGCTCATCTCACGAAGGTTTTTTCTCAAGATAGTCCTCATGCTGCAGTCCACAGCAAGAGAAATATTCAGTGCCTTCCATTTGGCCACTGTTATGGCTTGTCCTGTATCTAGAGGTCCCCCAAGGCCCCATGCACTTATTGGTAGGGCTTCTGGAGGTGACTGGATCGTGAGTGTGACAGTGGATTAAGGGTGTGATAACTGGATTAATTCACTGATTGGTGCAGAGAATAAGAAGGCCCACCCTTGGTGTGGGTGGCACCAACCAATAAATAGGCTTATAGCCTAAATCAATAAAAAAGGAAAGGGGGCCGGGGATTTAGCTCAGTGCCGCCTGCTGCACAAGCACAAGGACCTGAGTTTGATCCCAGGTACCAAAAAAAAAAAAGGGAAAGGGAGACTTGCTGCTTCCTGTCTCCTGCCTACCCTGCCATGGACTGTTTCTCCTCTGTGATGCCCCTCTGCCATGCTGTCCAGCCTGGGAGCCAGCTATGGACTGAAACCTCTACAAACTGTGAGCTGAAATAAACCTTTCCTCCTTTAACTTATGGGTGTCAGGTATTTTGTCCCAGCAATGAGGAAGTAACTAAGACAGTCACATAATATTAAAAAGACACACCAATGGTCAAAGTTCACTGACTATTACTAGGTTGCTTAGAACCTTAGATGAACTAGGCATGTCTCTTCTATCATGGGAAGCACATGTGGGGACAGAATATGGAGGCCACAACACACTTCAGCACCATGGCTGTGTTTCGCACTAAGACACTAGCACCATTGGCCTCTCTACTGTGTCTCCAGCACTAGTGCAGGGGTAGCAGGGATAGAGATGTTGCCGTGTCACTGCTGTAACTCATTTGCCCTCAGACACCCAGAGCCTGGAGCCCAAGCTTTGAGAACTGCTGCTGTCCATGCACACCCGGTGCTGAAGGACAATGGGAACATCAGTAGTGCCACCACTTGGACAAGGGGGCAGAGCCCGCGTGGTGTGGTGGGGACGCCTGGTATCCCAGCACTCCAGGAGGCTGAGGCAGGAGGATCACAAGTTTGAACTCAGACTGGACAACAATGACTTAGCAAGACCCCATCTCAAAATAAAAATCAAAAAGGGCTGGTATGTACCTCACTGCAAAGCCCTGGGTTCAATCCCCAGTACTGGCCCGCCCCAAAAAGTTGGATTAATCTTGATCAGAAAGGAGGAGGGATAAACAAAGAACAGATCCCAGCCTAGCTTTAGCACCGCACATTTTTTTTGTGGGGGGGGGGGTGTCTCCCTTTGTAGTTCAGGCTGGCCTGAACTCACTACGTAGCCCAGGCTGCTCTCCAACTTGCAGCGATCCTCCTGCCTCAGCCTCCTGAGCGCTGGGATTATAGGTGTGGGCCACCATGCCTGACCCGCACATTTATTTTTACTTATTTATATCTACTAGAAGGGTGACGCTTATACACAAATAGACAGTAATCAGTAGAATTTTGTGCATTATTCTGACTATGGGAATATGCACTCATTATTAAATGGCTTCATAATCAAGCTTCTAAAGTAATTTCTAAAGACTAAATATGATACTTAACATTTTCTTCTAGGTGCAATTAAGGGAAAACAGGTGCTAGCTGAGTGTGGTGGTGCACATCTGTGGTCCCAGCACTCTGGGAGGCTGAGGCAGGAGGGTCATGAGTTTGAGGCCAGCCTGGGCTACGAGTGAGACTTTCTGATTCTAATCACTGTACCTTCTGATTTTATAATTTAAGCCCTTGAAAGATAAACTGCCGAGGAATAATACGGATGTTCAACATTCATTAACATTAACAAGACTGTTCATTAACAGTTCTTTTCAATAACAAATATGGTTCCTCTGATGGAATCAGGAAGCCTGTCTGTATAGGCCACACCAACAAGAAACCAAAAGAAAAAGCGATGTAGAGACTGTGTAAAGTGAAGCAGAGCGGACAGTAACACTTATGGAATAAAACGTTTTTGTTCGTTTTTTGAGGCAGGGTCTTGCTATGTAGCTAAAGGCTGGCTCCAACTCAGGGTGACTCTCCTGCCTCAGCCTCCAGAGTGCTGGGATTACAGGCGCTGCCAGCACGCTGGGCTCATTTTTAAGCTATAATTAAATTCTAGTTATCATGTTGCATATCCTGGTAATTCATGTTATAAAGTCACATTTCACTTTAAATAAAGTTTAAATTCCATGCAGCCAAAATCCACTCACCCGGTCTGCCAAGCCTCTGGGCACGATGGTCCTCACCACCACGCCACTCGACTTCCCCCCGACGATGCCGAACCCCAGCCCAGAGCCGTCGTTGATGAGCTCCACCTCCTCTATGCGGCCCCAGAAAGCCTGTGAGGCGACAGCACGCGAGAGCCACGGAGTCAGGTGCCGACCTGGGCTTCCGGATGGAGCACGGCTAAGGTCACCGCTGAGCTGTTAATTGAGATGACTCAGAAGTCAAAGACACATACTCCCTGCACACAGACATCACACAAAACATCGCACACACACACACACACACACACACACACAGGCACACGCACACAGGCACACGCACACACGGAGACAGACACCCCACCCTCAGGGGTTGTGTGATCCAGGAGAGAATCTGAAACAACCAGACCACAGGTGAATACTGGACCCAGCCGCAGCTCCAAGGGGCAGAGCTATGCCCGGGCCTTGCCCAGGACGGTGCAGGTCCAGTGCTAAGAGTGTGTTCGCCTGAGTTGAGGAGAATCCCAACACATCACCGAGATTTCAGGGGCTGGGGTGGGGAATAAGAGATACAATTCAGTGTGAACAGGGGGCGTTTAAACTGCATTACAGCAGGCATGGTGGTGCATGCCTGTAATCCCAGCACTCAGGAGGCTGAGGCAGGAGAATGTCTTTGGGTTCAAGGCCAGCCTGAGCTACATTGTGAGGCCCTGTCTCAAAAAAGAAAACTACCTGTGCTACAGACGTGAGCACGGGAAAGGGGATGGCAAAGCCCAAGGGCAGAATGTGCCAAAGACACCACACCAGCCAGAGCCTGGGCCGAGCTGAGAAGCAGGAACAACGGCGGGCAGTGGAAAAGGGAACCCCAGCCAGGTGTGGTGGCATAGGCCTGCCATTCCCACACTGAGAGGCTGGGGCAGGAGGATCGCAAGTTCAAGCCCAGTCTCGGCAACTTACCTGCACAGAGAAAAGAAAAAAGGGCTAGCGAGATCACTTTGTGAGAAGGCCTAGGTTCAGCACCACACACACAGAGAAGAAGAAGAATCAGGAAAGTGAGCAGGAGTGCCGGGAATATGCAATGAGTTCTGAGCTGGAACACACCTGCTACCTGGGAAGCAACAGTACTCGCTAAAATAACCCAGAGAGCACAGTTCCTCACACCAAACAACACCCCACTTTATCGCTGTTTGCACGTAAGCAGGGCTGAGTAAATGTGGCACAGCCAACAGGACAAGGCCTCCTGGCTGGTGCTGTGAGTGACCTTGCTGTGCACCAGACAGGCTGTTTTTGCTTTTGTCCCAAGGAAGGAAAAGTAAATAAATCAAGGAGCACTTAGTGCAGTAAGAAAATAAGATTTCTTTGCATTCTGAAGATGCAGGCCCAAAATCCGTAAAATGTTACACAGCAAGTTCAAGGTTCCTAAAGAGGCACACCCCTCTTCCAAACTGCAGTACACATTTCAAACACTCGACAGTAAATCTCTAATAAAAACTTGCAATTAACTGGCTACATCATCAAGAAACACAAGACTTGCCAGGGATTTAGCTCAGTGGTGCCACCGCCTACCTCCCAAGCTCAAGGTCCTGAGTTCGATCCCCAGTACCAAAAAACCCACAAAAAACAAAAACCACAAGACTTTCCATCATCAAATAAATTACACCTAATATTCAATGTGGCCTCTATGTTATGTAATCATCTTAAACTGAGCATGGTGGTGGATGCCTGTAATCCCAGCACTAGGGAGGCTGAGGCAGGAGGACTGCCGTGAGTTCGAGGCCAACCTGGGCTAGTTCAAGGCAGTCTGCACTACAAAGCTAGACCTTGTCTCAACAAACAAACAAACAAATAAACATAAATAATAATAATCATCATCTTAAGAAGACCCATAGGGCATTGAAAAGACAAAATAAATAAATAAAATATATTGGGAAGCTGAGGCAGGAGGATCACTGTGAGTTCAAGGGCAGCCTGAACTGCACTACACAGCAAGACTTTGGCACAAAAAAACGAAGATAAACAAACACCCCTCCATGGAACGTGGCGTCTGAACACGCTAACGCTGCGCTGGGTGTAAGGCCATCTTTCCCGACCGTGAGTGGAGATCGCACTTCCCCAGCCCCAGCATCACCCGCCACTCACCGTGTCCAGTGTGGGGCTGGGCTCCCGGGCCACCACCAGGTGCAGCGGCCCCGGGCTGTGCTGCAGCAGTGCCACGGCCTGCAGGTGGGACACGCGCTGGTCCAGGGCCGTGTGGTTGATGGCCAGGATCTGGTCGTTTTCCTTGAGCCTTTGGCCCCTTCGTCACAGGAGAGAGACATGGTGTCAACGCGGCCCACGGCAGTGTGCTGCTCTCATCCTAGCCGTCACTCGTCACTCGCTGCTGCAGAAGCTCCTCTCCCATGCCGTGTTTTCCTGACACGGCCGGGACCGGCACCCTGAGCCCCTCGCCCGGCCCGCCCAGCGTGGGTCCTGCGTCCTCAGCGCAGCTCGTCCTGGCCTCCTCACCTGCAGGCCTCATCACCTGGAGGCCCAAAGCGCTGCACACCCGCGCCAGCCCCTCCAAACCTGCGCCACCCCTTCCCAAGAACCAACCTTCCAACTTCCAGCCCAGGGTAAAAAGACTGCGCCTAAGAGGAACCTGTAAACTGTTTTCACTGGCACCGTTCCTTAGATCCCCCAGCCCCACGGTCAGGAAGTGCGCCCCGGCCGGCCTCGGTTACTCTCACACACAGGAAGCTGCAGCCCGGAGGCGCTCGGCACCCAGCCGCAGGCTCCCCCCAGCCTGGTCTCACTTGTGTCCTCAGGTGGCCCGGCCGGAACCCTCACCTAAAACCGACCTGGACCTCGGGACCTGCCTTGTCCCCCCAGGCCCTCCGCGTGTCTGTCCCGGTCCTGTCCCGTCCCAGGCCAGGCACCTGTCGCCCGGCCGCTCAGGAGCCGGGCTGAGGATCTCGGGTGGAAGCCCGCCCCGCACTCACAAGAGCCTGTGGCGCAAGTGAACGAGAGGGAGGTGTGTGCCGATCATCACACTGCTCCACCGGGGAGGGCTCGGGACAGGCACAGCAAGCCTCGTGCAGTTCACCGCGGGCCAGCGAACGGCAGCCGGACAGGAGGCGCCGACCCGGGATGTGGCCAGCCGGGCAGGGCTCCAGGCTCCTCCCGCACCACGATGCTCGCTGCGCTGCACCGACACCGAGGCGCAGGCTCCGGCTCCGGCTCCGCACAGCTGCCCCCTCAGCCTCACCCTCTGCCCGGCCACAGGGCGGTGCCACCTGCCGCCAAGCTGCTCCCTGGGGCGGCCCATCGCCCGACTCGACCGTGCCCCCCAAATGCGGGGCCTCATGTTCAGAGCCCTGGACTAGCAAGCCCAAGCCGACTGCACCTCAGGAAACCCGAGCCGGCGTCTGTCCCTGGGGGTGATGAATGTGACTGCCTAGCGTGGACCATGAACCCCGGACCCAGCCACTGGCCATAGCCCCAGGTGCCTGCCCACCGGCTGGGCCACTGAGCAGGCGGAGATGCCCCTGCCTGGGGAGGTGGCCAGGAAAGGCGCGGACCTTAAAAGCCTGCTGGGTTTGCAGTTTGCCTCGGGGAGAACGAGTAATAACAATAAGGATGTTTCCAGAATCGCAAGGGAAACATCTGTGCCTCACCTGTCGGCCACACTGCCCGGATGCACCTCCTTCACAAAGATGTCCACCTCCCTCGGTCGCTGGCTCTTCAGGGCCACCACGCTGAAGCCCAGGCCCCCGGCAGGTGGCCGCTCGATGACTATGCACTCGACCTGCCGGCCCTGAGGAGGGGCAGAGGGACAAAGCCTGCCAGTGCTGTGCGGGTCAGGGACACACACTGCACCACCCGGCTAACAACTGCACTTACAGAATGAGAACTTCATAAGTGGAATCGACTAACAAGAGCATCACACCAAGGGGAGAGAGCCATAAAGTAAAAAAGGAATTAGATCCAGGCTCGGTGGTGCATGCCTGTCTTCCCAGCACTCTAGGAGGCTGAGGCAGGAGGGTTACAAGGTGCAACCCAGCCTGGGCAACTTAGTGAGGCCCTGTCTCAAAATAAAGAAGTAAAACAAGGAGTTATAGATGTATCTCAATCTGAAGGCCCTGGGTTCAATCCCCAATACAAAAAAAAGAAGATCCCAAATGTTACTTAACTATCACACCTTATGCAGACTATTTCATTTTATTTTATTTGGAGGCATAGTCTTGCTAAAGTGTCCAGGCTATTCTAAACTCATGACCTTCCTGCCTCAGCCTCCCTAGCAGCTGGGATTACAGGTGACGCCCTGTGTCCAGTTTAGATAGCTTTAAGCTTCAAACTCAAATTTCATTTTCAAAGGTATTCATTAGACGGTGAGGTGAACAAACACAAAACCAACACACCCCACAGCTCCACCTTCGTCTAACTTTCCATAGGTACGGGAGGGAGCTGCAGCCCGGTAACTTCCCATCATTCCCAGGTTCCACAAGTCAAGTCGCATTACCTCCTGTAACCACCAGAGCTGCTCTGGTGCACACTAGGCAGCTCCCGCACTGTCTCTTCTCTTCAAGCAGACGTGCGTCCCCCTCACACGGGTGGGCTCCCCGTTTCTTAGGAGAGAAAGGCTCCATTCCCGGCTGGACGCTGCCTAAAAATCCCCTCCCCTGACCCCGACTTCCTTGTGGGATTTTACAACAAAGAATTTCCAACAACAGGCTAGAAAATGGTGTGAGTTCTCCCAACAGCTAAACCACGAGCCCCCAAATCCCGGGACACGCGTGAAGGCCAGGAGTGCGAGCTCGTTTCCGTCTGTAACCTGGACCAGCAGAATCAAAGCCCAGACGCTCACCCGAGCCAGCCGCTCCACAGCGGCGTGGAAGTCTTCGCCCCCCGACTGCGACTGCAGGGCCCAGGTGCACGGTCCCGGGGCGGCTGCACGGGCATCGGCGGGCCGGGGTGCGTTCCCGTTGGCAGCAGTGCTGTCGATGAACACGAGCAGGCCTTTCTGGGAGAAGTCGAAGTTGGCAGTGCTCGCTGAGGGGCTGTGGCTGAGCTGGGGGAGCCAGAAATGACCAGCGGGAAGGAAGTTCCAAAAATTAAAAGACAGAAGAAGGCAGAGGTAGGCAGATGCATCTACATATAAAAGGAGCGAAGCGCGGCCAGGCAGTGCTGCCACGCTGGGCCACACGCTGCGCACCACTGAGCTAAATCCCCGGCCCTGTTCCTTTGTTGCTTTGAGGCAAGATCTTGCTTTGTAGCCCAGGCTGTCAAACTCACAGCGATCCTCCTGCCTCAGCCTCCCAGAGTGCTGGACTCACAGTTTTAAATACGTACAGAACCTTCCGAAGCCCGACCTAAAATGCACCCCCCACACTTGGCAGCCCCCAGCCAACGCCACGCCAGCTGTGTCCGCGGGATGCCTCCCTGTCTGCCCTCCTGTCCCTCCTGCCGCACTGGCCCTCAGGCACTCACCTGGCCCTTGAGCTGACGCAGGGACTTCTGCAGGGCCAGGATCTGCGTGAAGAGCGGGCTCTGCAGCGTGTCGCAGAAGGCGGACAGCGTGCTGTGCTGCGACGTGTCCCCTCTGTCCTGCAGCTTGGCCCGAAGCCGCTGTAGCACCTGCAGCACCTGCAGCTTGTCTGGGAGGAGTAGCCCTGAGCATCGCCCTGCTCCACCCTGCCCGACCCACCACACACACACACCACACACATCATACAATACACACACACCACACACCACACACACACACCACATACCACACACATCATACAATACACACATCACACACCACATACATCATACAACACACACAACACACACCACATACATCATACAACACACACAACACACACCACATACATCATACAATACACAACACACAACACATACATCATACAACACACCACATACATCATACAATACGCACACACACCACACACACACACCACACACCAAACACACACTATACACACATATACTGCACACCACACACATACACACACACCACACACATATACACACCATACAATACACACCACACATACACACCACACACATATACACACCACACACACATACCACACACACCACACACACACATACACACCATACACCACACATACACAGCAGGCACGGTCACGCCTACCTGTGGCAGGGTTTTCGGGCATCTCGGATTTTGTCTTCAGTCACTTGCAAAGAAACCTGAGGAGAAATTTAAAACACAAAGGTGAATTTCCACAGTGCCAAAGCGTGGCTCCTCTACAGGGAAGCGAGAGACAAGCCGAGGACTCTTCGGCGGGAGACCCTGTGGGAATCCCGGCCTCCGCAAGGAGGAGGAGGAGAGGCTGGGCTGCCGCTGGGGAAAGGAAAGGAAAGGAAAGGTGGTTTCCTTCTTCAGCTAAACTCATGGACATAAGCTAGTTTCTTCTGGAGTTAAAAATATATTTAAGTTCACAGCATTTTAGGCAAGGCTGCCCACAGGTGACACGGCCCCATGTTAAAACGCCAGGACGCCGCTGGCCCATCCGCAGTGCTTTCAGAACAATCTGAGAACATCGGGGCTTAGGGGCCTGGCCGGCCATGCTCACAGACCGCGTCCATCTGTGCAACTGCCGAAGCCCAGACTGGAGATGCACAGACAGAAAAGGCTCCCCGGGAAAGCACTTCTGCACCTACCATTCAAAACCTGTCCACACACACCAAACTACAAAGCACGGAGAGGACAGAGAACCGTCTCCAAGGGGCCAGGAGAGGCACTTAGGGCACAGCTGGCTGGGGGAGCCGTCCAGCCCGCAGCGAGGTGTCCCGCTCTGCAGCTCCCAGACCAGAGGGGAATCTGAGCGAGTGTGGGCTTCCACAGGTAGCGGGAAGCTGACTCGGGACCCTCACTGTTCTTACTGGGTTATTCTCTCCTATCCAGGCGACTTTATTACCACCATTGCAACCCTGCAGTTATCAACAACTATTTCCCATTCAGAAAAAAGGCTGAGATCCTGAGGTTGGACTTGACTTCTGTAAACGAATGCAGAAGGGTGGTAAATGTCAGGAAAAGAATGGACAAGTGTCACGCACAAGGTGCCAACTGCCCATGAGGGATGCTGCCATGCACTGCAGCACAGGCCATAAACCACTTTAAAGCCGGCAGGAAGATGCCCACAGGAGACTCGGGACGCCGCACAGCGCTGTGGGGAGGGGTCGTCCACCGGCTGGGCCCTTGGGTTCGGCCCGCACCAGGGCTGCAGGACAGCGGGGCTCCTGAGGCGGTGTGAGCCTCTCACACTGTGCACAAGGGCCAGGGTGCGGCCCAGCGCCACAATGGTGGAAAATCCGAAAACAAAACTGCAAGGAAAATTAGCTCTTTTACGGCCCAGATTTCAGTGCTATGTGAATTGTGGCTTCAAAAGCATGGGTTGGGGATACAGTTCTGGGGCAGGTTTTTGCCTAGCGTGTGAGGTTTCAGTCCTCAGCACCTCAAGACAATCCATAAACGGTGGGGATGTAGCTCTGAGATGCTGCACCCGCCTGGCAAGGACAAGGTACCGAGTCTGATTCTCGGTACTGAAAAAAGCAAAAAACAACCCATGTCTGTAGCCAACAGTAACTAATGGAATGCTTGAAAAAAGCTGATGCAGAGATACGGACTTAATTTAATTTAAACTTCTGGTTGAAGAAAACTTAATGAGAAGTTTTATTAACCTCTCTGGATCAAGAATGTAGGCTAATCTGTGGGGTGGCTTGTGAACCCAGCACTCAGGAGGCTGAGACAGGAGACGTGCTGTGGGTTTGAGGCCAGCCTGGGCTACACAGTAAGTTCAAGGCCACCTTGAGCTACATAGCCAGACCCTATCTCAAAAAACAAACAAAAAAAGAATTTAGGCAAATCAAAGAGCCTGGCAGCCACTCTTCTGCCTCCCGGCTGTCACAGGAGTGCACACACACACACACACACACACACACTCACTCCCATGATTTAACACTTCCTGAAGAGCTGGGAGCCAAGATCCTCGGTAGGAACCACATCCAGCCCCAAGGCACAGGCAACCGATACCAGCCCACAGGTCTGGGAGCTGCGAGCTGCCGACTATGGGCCAGGGTGCTTCCTTCGAAGGGAGAGCTCGGCTTTCCCTCTGCCTCCCCTCAGCTCAGAGCTCGGCCTCTGTCAGGCGCCAGGGGTGGAAGTCCCTCTCTCTGGCCACAGGACCCCAGACAGTGCCTGCTGCCACACAACACAGACCAAGCCAGGTGCTTTGCTGAGCCCCTCTGGGATGAGTAATAGTACAGTCAAAAGCACTGTGTCCTGACTGGGTGTGGTGCTGGTAATCTTGGCACTCAGGAGCCAGAGGCAGGACGATTGTACATTCAAGGCCAACCTGGGCTACATAGGAGACCTCTGTTTTGTTTGTTTTGGGTCTATGTAGCCCAGGCTGGCCTTGAACTCTCTATGATCCTCCTGCCTCAGCCTCCCAAGTGCTGGAATTACAGGCATGCACCACCACGCCCAGCTTATTTTTTTTTGCTTCGAGACAGGGTGTTGTTAAATTGCTAAACTGCTCAGGCTGGGCTTGGATTTGTGGTCCTCCTGCCTCAGCCTTCCAGGGGGCTAGGATTACAGGCATGCACCGCCACCACCGGCAGGAAGGGAAGGGAAGGGAAGGGAAGGGAAGGGAAGGGAAGGGAAGGAAAGACTATACCACTAGGTACTTAGGAGGCTGAGACAGGAGGATCACCATGAGTTCGAAGCCAGCCTGGGCCATTGAGTGATTTAAGACCTCCTGAACTACATAGTGAGACCCTGACTCAGGAGAGAAAACCCAATGGTGTCCCTGGGATTTGGGAAACACACACTCCACAGCCACCTGACAGGAGGGGCTCAGGAAGCGCGGAAATCAAAGCTTGGAGAAACTCTCCCATCAATCCGCACTGAACCCTGGCCAGGCGCTCGGAACAGCTCAATACCTTCTCCTGGCAGAGCCGGGCCGCCCCGATGCCGGGGCACTGTCTACACTTGGGCTGCTGGCTGCCTCCCCGAAGTGTCCACGCCTGGCTCCGAGGCCGCCTCTGCAGCGTCCTGTCCTGGGCCTCCAGACCCCGCTCAGTCTTCAGCGCGCAGGGCCTCACCCACCAGCGCCCTGGCCTTCCCGACTCCACCGGGCCCCAGGAGGGTCCCGGCCAGGCCTCTCCTCACCGCCTGCTCTCCTCCAGGGCAGCGGCCGCAGGAACGACTGCCGGGACCTCGGCCTCGGGAGAAGGAAAGAACCACGGAGGACAGGACGGAGAGCCGCGAGGAGAGGCTCACGCCAGCGACGTCGCACGCACGACCGAACGGGAGGGGGCGCCGACAACCCCGCCTTCCACACACTCCAACCTCAGGCGCCCTCCCACCGCAGAAACGCAGTCTTTCAAAAGAACCCAGCCAGGGCCTGGGATTTAGCTCAGTGGTTCCGCCGCCTGCCTTGCAAGCGTAAGGTCCCAAGTTCCATCCCCAGTACCAAAAAAAAAAGAACCGGGCCAGCACTTGGGAGGCTGAGGCAGGAGGACTGATAGCTCAAGCCCAACCCAGTCAATTTAGCGCCTTAGCAAGACCCTGTCTCAAAATTAAAAGAATAAAAGGACGGGGGGACACAGCTCAGTGTCAAGGCCCTGGGTCGCCCCCAGCCCACAGCATAACCGCCCATCCCATTCACAGTGGAAAGGACTCGGGACCACACTGCGGGGCCTCCGCGGAGCAGGCAGCCCAGCCGCCAACGGCCACCGCCAGGGCCTCCTCCCCGGGGACGGGACGACGGAACACTTCCGGTCAGGGAAGCTGAGGGTCCCATCATTCCGAGTCCTCAGCAAACGGCACTTTTGAGAAGACCGAAGTGCAGGCTGCACCAGAGCAGGGAGGGCCGGGTCCGAGTGTGGAGTCACTCACAGGCCCTGAGGGTCAGCGCGGAGCACAGCGGAGCCACACCGATAGTAGCAGGGTTAACTGAGACATTATTTCCTTTAACCCAATGTGCACAAATTATTACTTCAGTGTGTCAGTAATAAACAATTACTTATTAGGTAAGTAATAAGATTTTTGTTTGTTTGTTTTGTTTGATACCAGGGATCGAACTCAGGACCTTGTGCTTTCGAGGCAGGTGCCAGAACCACTGAGCTAAATCCCCAGCCCTATTTTTTGTTTTTTGAGACAGGGTCTCACTATGTAGTCCAGGCTGGCCTTGAACTCACTATGGATCCCAGGCTGACCTCCAACTCATGGAGATCCTCCTGCCTCAGCCTCCTGGGATTACTGGTATGTGCCACCACACCCAGGTTAATAAAGCATTTAAATCCCCTGAACACCTAGTGTGCTTTGCAGTCACTCAGGGTCTCTGTCCCAACTAGGCCCTGCCAGTGCCATGGTAAGAGCCCCGCTTCAGCTTTCGAATGGCTCACTGTGTAGACAGAGGCGCTGGCTGGGGTTCTGGGGAGACCCCTGATGGCGTCGCCAGGAGACACCGGTCTGTCAGTCCTGCAGCCCGTGCCTTCTGTCAAAGCAGCTGCAGGGCGCAGTGGGCGGCCCTGCCCCAGAGCAGCTCACAGGCCCACAGCACCGGCTCAGGGTGGGTTCCATCCCAACCCCCCAAAATAAATAAACAAACGGGAGGTCTCCAAAGGTACTAAAGCCCCTCTATTTGCACCAGAACATAAAATGGGCCTTTAAGAATGACCCAAATCTACACGAAGACCCCTAAGAAGACAACGGTTCCACGATCTCAGACATGAGAGGAACAGGGACTCTTACTCCAAACCACCCAGCTCTAGGCCCGGGCGGGGATGTAGCTCAGTGGTTTGGCACCTGCCTAGCAAGTGCAAGGTCCTGAGTTCGATTCCTGGTACCAAAAAAAATACACATCAAACCACCCAGCTCTGCAGTAGAGCTGGCTCCTCACCTCTGTGTTTTCATTTTCGTTAAACTTTAACAAAGAGCTGAACTTAGACTGCCTGGCTGTGCAGGGTGAAAACAGTCGCTCTGGTTGTGAAGCCAAGTGTGAGCTGTGGGCCTGTAACCTCAGCACTTGGGAGGCTGAGGCAGGAGGAAGCGCTCCAGGCCAGCCTGGAAGACACACCAAGAACCTTCTCAAGGGGAAAAAGGGGAAAAATGCAGGTGTAAGGACTGGCATGCGGTGAGCCACTGTCTCATCCGCACAAGGCTTTCCAAGTGCATTCACTGTAAGGAAATACACTGACATTTTCCCATTTGCAAACCTTTGAAATACAAACTGAAAGGAAACGCACCGTGAAGTTGGTAGTGGCTTCCTCTCAGTAGTTTGCTGCTGGGCACCGTCAGCTCTGTTGGACCTCAGCCTTCTACACACAGGCGGGGGCCGGCGGGCGGCAGGGAGCCCCTCCCCCCTCTGGGTCACCCGAGCTCCCAGGGGCAACGACCTGAGCTACTGAGGCCCGGAGCAGGTGAGGACTTCATTTCTTTCCGAGTTAGAACAACAGCTTTTTAAACGGAAACCCCCACGACCGTCTTTGACACTCGTTCACCTGCTGTGTCCCTGGCACCCGCTGCTTCCGAATGATCTAAATTTGGAAAATCCCGGCAGGGCCCGGGGAAGTGCAGGGCACCACTGTGCCACAGTGCAGGGCGAAGTCTACCCGGCCTGGACCAGACTGCGGCGACCAAGTCCGCCCCGGGGAGGGGGGGGGTCTGCCGGCAGGGTGGGCCTGGGTCCCGGGTGGGCTCGGGCTCGGCGTGCCCTGGGGTGGGCTGTGTCCTTCCCCGGCCCCGCTCGGTGACGCTTCGGGACCAGGCCTCCTCCCGCGGTCACCTCCCGGACGGACGCGGCGGCCGAAGCAGAAGAGTGCAGGCCGGAGGCCCGCGGGGTGCGCGGCGGGGACGTGGGGCGCGGGCGCGGGCGCGGGCTCGGGGTCCCCAGGGTCAATGGGGTCCGGGATCCCCGGGGTCTCCGCCCTTACCTGTCCACGGCAGCAGCTCAGGCTCGGGAGGCTCACCTGGGAGGAAGTGGGCGGGGCCACCTGCTCCACCCTGGCGGGGGGGGGGGACCGGGCGAGGACGGGGGCGGGACCGGGACGGGAACAGAGGGGTGGGGACGTGGGGGGCGGAGACAGGGGAGTGGGGACAGTGACACGGAGTGGGGACAGGGCGGGAGCGCTGACCGGGCCCCTGGCCCTCTGCTGCCCGCTCTGCCGTCCTCGCATCTGCAGACACGGGGTAAATGTGACAGTGAAGCCCTGGGCCGAAAGTCAGGGACAGACTGACAGATGGCCTGGGTGTGTAGCTTGGGTCTTTCTCTTCCATTTAACCTGGAAACCAGCTCCAGCATCCTCCTCTGGGCCCTGACTCACCCGGCCCTCGGGGAATCCCTGGACCCGGACCCACACCTGAGAGCCGCACCCCCACACGCGCGTGCACACGCACTCACACACACACACACACACGCACACGCACACCGACTGACCCAGGCCTGTCCCTGTGGGCTCCATGCTCACTCCTGAGCTCATGCCCGACTTCTGGAGCGAAGGCCAAGCCTGGGACCCTCCTTCGGGGCGCTTTCCACAAGAACCAGTCACTGGGCACCTCCAGGGCAGAAGGAAAGCGGTGTCCTGCAAGGGGTGTGTGGGGTCCCCGTCCTCGGCAGGAGGGGAGGACATCCCCATAGCCCAGCACTGGACACTCCTCGCCTCAGAGCACTCGCACTGCAGCGGGCGGGTGCCTGTGAGGCGGGTGGTGAGGGGCAGGCCGTGCCCCTCTGGTTGCAGAAATGAGGGGTCCATTTCACCTGCACTTACTCAACATGGAGCACCAGCAGGCCCGGCCTGGAGCCTTTTTATACCCAATCACGAACATGCAGAGAAGGAAGTGAAGTCAGCAGCCCTGTTCACCCCAGCTACAAAAGAAAGACAGAAAAACAAAGACCTCAGAATACACTCAATCGGAGAAGGCAATGACCTGTATGTGGACAAGTACAACACACCGATGAAAGAAATAGAAAAGAACACACACACACACACACACACACACACACACACACACACACAGTCATTCACGTTCATGGAGTGAAAGGATTAACATTGTTGAAAGGTCCATACTACCCAGAGCCATTATGGACTCACACAAGGGCATTCTTCCCAGAGACAGAGACAGCTGTACGACATTCATAGGGGCTCACAGACAACCCAGAGGGTAAAGCACCGTGAGCAAACAAGAACAAAGCTAGAGGAACCCAGTACCCACTGCAAAGCATGCTGCAAAGCCATGGTGAGGAGAAGAGCAACCAGCAGCAGAGAAACCACTGCGTGGCAGAGCAGAATGCCAGGGCAAAGGAGCTGGAAGCATTGGAAAGGGGCAGGTGAGAAACAGGATGCCGATGTGTGTGTCCATGCACCGAGTCCACGCGAGTGTGTCATGTGCTGCAAATGTGGCCTCAAAAACCAGAGAAATGTGCCCTGGAGAAAGGGTAGCCTGCTCAACAAATCATGCTGGGAAAACAGAATATCCACACACAGAAAAATGAAACTGAACCCTTCCCTCTCAGAAGAGGCAAAAGTCAACTCAAAATGGATGGAGACATCAACATAAAGCCTGCAACCACCAGAAGAAAACACAGGGGAACACTTCACGGGCTGGGGTAGAGCATGACTTTTTTGGATTAGAACACAAAAGCACAGACAGCAAAAACAGAAACAAATTGGATCACATTACAATAAGAAGTTTCTGGCAGGGCATGGTGGGGCATGCCCATTATCCCAGCACTCGGGAGGCTGAGGCAGGAGGAACTCTGTGAGTTCAAGGCCAGCCTGAACTACACAGTGAGATCCTGTCTCAAAAAAACAAACAAACCAAACCTAAAAATAAAAAATAAAAACCATGATAATCTGATTTAAGAAGGAACGAATGTTCTGAAAAGACTTTTCTTCAAAGAGGGGGACACATGGCCAAGCACATGACAAAGTCTCAGCATCACAAACTGCCAGGCAGATTCACATCAGAACCCCGTGAGAGCAATCGAAATCAAGGGACACAATCAGCGCTGCGAGGTTGCCAAGCAAGGGGGATTCCCACACTGCCAGGGGGACCTAAGTCAGGGTGGCCACCATGAACAACGGAGACAGGTGCCTCAAAAGAGTAAAAGGTGCAGAGGTGCCTGGCTGCCGGGAGTGTCTCCAGCAGAAGCCAGTCAGCCCGTCGAAGGCCCCCGGCGCACACGTTTACACAGCACTATCCGTGCCAGCCAAGACACCGAGTCAACTGACTTCTCCAGCTGAGGCTGGGCAGGGTGTGGGAGCACAGGCCTCAGGGGTAGAACTCGCCCGGGTTCTAACAAGAGTGGCACAAGAGAAAAGGGAAAAAGAAAGCGTGGGGTGTGTGTACAATATACACGGGGAACATTATGCAGCCATAAAATGAGATCCTGCCCCGCTTGCTGGTAGTGTTGGTCAGGACTTCACTGGGGATGGACAAGTCTTTGGGGTTCGATCGGGTGAAAAGAGGAATGCAGCACATCCCAAATCTCAAAGCTGGGGACAGCGTTACAGAGGGCGGAGGCCAAGGGTCTCAAATCACCATGTGCAACACCGGAAAACTTTATTCTTGAACACTGATTTTGTTCTTATTTCTGGGTTTTTTTGGTACCAGAGATCGAACTCGGGTCCTTGCGCTTGCAAGGCCGGCGGTGGAACCACTGAGCTAGATCCCCAGCCCATTGCTTCTGTTTTCTTGAGACAGCGTCTCACTATGTAGCCCACCTGGCATTGAACTCACGGCGATCTTCCTGCCTCTGCCTCCCAAATGCTGGGGCCACAGCCCCGGGGACTCGAACATTTGATTCCATTCCGTCCTTGTCAACTGCGTGCCTTTGAACTGGCCCTGAGTCAGAGCTAGATTCTTTCTCACAGTTCAGGGCCCCCACACCCCCTCCTTCTTGGCGGTCAACCTAACCTGGGGTTTCACCTCGCTAAAGTTTGGATTGGGCCAGAGTCCCGGAGCCAGAGCCGCAGCCCAGAGCTCGGCCCCGCCCCACCTCCAGGCCCCGCCCCACCCCGCCTTCCAGACCGGCCTCCACTGCTCTGGGCCGCAGATTCCCACAGGACACCCCCCCACGCTTGTCTTGTGAACCTAGGGTGGGCTTTCCTTTGGCTTTTACATGGAATTAAAGTACTTTTAAGCATGAGGAATGCAATCACTATGTACTGCAAACATGCACTAATAAAAAATTTTAAAAGATAAACTTTTATAATGTATTTGATATTTTTAAAGGAACTTACTCTGTTAGAGAAGATGTTTCCTTCTGGGAATCTTCAAAAGTGTCTTAGTTGTAAAATCTTAAAAATAAATGCAATTTTTAAGAGCCTCTGCTCTGAGGCCTGGCAGAGTGACAGACGCCGAACTCAGGAGGCTGGGGCAGGAGGGTCCTGAGTTGGCACCTGACCTGGAGTACAGAGCGGGCCCTGTCTCAAAGAAACCAAATAAATAAATAAACATGAAACATGCATCCAGAGCCCCATCTGGAAGCTGTGTGCAGAAATGGACTGATGCAGAAAGGAGGAGGGTGCAGAGAGGGCCACCAGGGTAAGGCTCGAGGGAGGTAGGGACACTGGGAATGGCGCGAAGTGTGGGTACGAAAGAACGGATGGAAACATTAACTGCTTCCTGATCAGATGAATGTATTGAGAAAGAACAGGGGACAGCTGAAGGGCAAAGTGACTCCAAGTTCTGAGCCTGATAAAAAGAAGCATTGGTGGCCAAGCTGAGAAAGCGTTCACTTTATGTTGTTGTTCAACGAGCAGTGGGACTCGGATGGGCTCAGCCTTACCCTGCAGTGACGCGGAACGAGAACATACTCCGCACACCTGAGTAGGCCTCACCCGCAGCGAGCCAAACGCAGTGTGAGCGGGCCCTGCGGGGCAGCTGGCTGGGCTGCCACAGGACGGGTGGGCGTGGTGCGGTGCAGAAGTGTGGAGACCTAGCTGAGCTCTGCTGTGAGGAATCTGTCACGGGGTGGGGGGTGCCCATGGGAGTCAAACGCAAAAGGAAGGCTTCAGAGTAACTGTTTCTGAGATAGGGTCTCAATGTGCAGTTCCAGCTGGCCTTGAACCATGTGGCACTGGCTGGTTTTGAACGCAAGGAGATTCTTCTGCCTCAGCCTCCCTAGTGCTAGGATCACAGGTGTGTGCCACCACACCAGGTAAAGTTACAGTGCTTCATCTCATAATGTTTCTGGCCCAGTCTCAGACACAGGAGTCAGGTGGGTCACCTCGGGAGGTTTCACTGTGAGTGGAACAACCTGTTATGTAGCCAGGTGTCTACAAAACCTCAGGAATGAATGGGTCCAAGGAGAGGCCCTGCATCGGAGGGATTTGCCTGGTCGCCTTCACCTTCCCACGTTACCACTCCATCTCCACATGGGCCGTGCCGCTCCCGTGCTGTGCTTTCTCGAGAATGCTACGAATTTACGAATGCCTACAAAACATTTATGTGACAAATCCGGCATCGGGAACACTGCGATGTAAGCGCTTATAAAGGGAAAGCAGCGGTCTGGTGAGGGAGGCCGCGTGCCAGGCCCAAAGCAAAGGCCAGGAAGGCAGCGAAGGGCAGCAGCAGGGCAAGTGAAGACTGAGCATATCGGCTCACGAGTCAGTGATTTTTGTTTCTTTTACTGTCACTTTTCATTCTTTTTAATTACAGGGTGATAACAGAGGTAACCATTCAAACTATGAACAGATTTTGTAATGGGTTAACCAGTGAAGCATAAGCATTTTCCAAGTTAACTCTTCAAGATCTACGTGATGCTGACACAAATACAAAGATTAACAATGCCCTTGCGGTGAGCAGGCGCACATCTGATCTTGTCCTACCGTCAAAAAACCGCAAGTACAAAATGGGTTATATTTTAAAAATCAAATCGGAACATTGTGAAAGTTAAAATCAAAGTCAAATTGCAAGTCGCTCTTTCATTACAAGATAAAAAGTGTACCGCTTGGGCCTTTATCTTGAATTTGACAGACTCTTTGAAAGCTAACTCTTTCCTAAATCTCACCTCAGGGTGCAGCTAAGGGCGGTGATAGGGCGCACATGGTCCCAGGTGCAGTTTTGGGGGCGAATCTTAATCAAAGTCCACGCCCTAGGGGTGGAGTCGTAGCTTGGTGGTAAAACAAGTACTTAGCAAGTCCAAGGATTTGCCTGGTGTCCAATAGTCCCAGTCGCTGGGGAGGCTGAGGCAAGAGAATCACTGGAGCCCAGGAGTTTGGGACCAGCCTGGGCAACACAGCAAGATCCTATTACAAACAAAACAAAACAAAACAGGGCATGTCTAACCGCCTTAACTAGTAGGCAATTCTACCGAAATTCGTATCACAGTATTATTTGTCTTCCCCTAACAAACCTAAGTGCTTAACTCTTGTCTCTTCATTTTTTGTCTCTAGGGTCTAGCAGTGTAGCTTAATGCTGGGTACATAATAAATGCTCAATAAATATTTTTTAAAAGATGGTAAGGAGAAGATAAATAGGAGGGAAAGAAGGAAAGAAAGGGAAGGAGGAAGGAAAAGGGAGAATGAAGAAGTGCACTTAATAGAAAGTTTAAATTACATTTCAAATTTCCTACCATTTAAACCTGACCTAAAGGATAATTACTCATGTTTTAAATTAAAAACAGCATAGTAAATCGGAAGTGGTGGTGCACACCTGTAACCCCAGCACTCTGGGAGGCTGAGCCAGGAGGATCTCAAGTCTGAGCTCAGTGTGGACAACTTAATGACTTGGTGAGACCTCGTCTCAAAACAAAAAATGAAAAGGGGCTGCAGATGCAGCTCGGTGCGAAGGTCTGGGTTCAATCCGCAGTACCGCAAATGAACATTCCGGCCTCAGGCGTTAGGACTCCGCAGAGGCAGAGGCCCTGCTCCCGCCTTCGACCCCACTGCGCCCGAGCTGGGGCGTGATTGGGGAGCGTAGATCCCGCGGCCTGGCGAACACAGCCAGCCGGGGGCCCCGGCCGGGCCCTGAGCACCGAGCCCCACGAGTACCGCGGGCGCTTTGGGGAGGCACGCGAGGTGCCTGGCCGGAGCGAGGCGGCCCAGCATGGACCTGAGAACAGCGCGCAGCCCGGAGACCGCCCCCCCAACCCCAGGCTGGGGGGGCACGGGCCCTTTAAGAGGCTCCTCCCGCCCCGCCCTTCCTCCCCCGCAGGGCGGGACCGGAAGCGGAAGCGCGCAGCGCGGCGGTCCCAACATGGCGGCCGCCAGGCCCCCGCGGCCCGCGTACCCCGAGCCCGCGGCCGCGCAGCTGCTCGGCGTCCTGTGGCTCGCAGCCGTCGCCTCGGGCCCCTGGGGGGTGGCGGCCGGGTCCGAGGAGGCGCCGCGGTGCGAGGACCTCCGTGTGGGGCAATATCCTTGGAGAGCGGCGCTCGGGCGAGGGGCCCACCGCGGGGCGGTGCGGGAAGGGGCTCTTCAAGGATGACTCCTCTGCTAAGCTGTTAATGTAATTTAGTCTGCACTCTCCGTAGCAAGCTAACTTTCAGGGACTATTTAGCAGTGCTAAGTACCTGTGCCTGTTGACTTAGATGAATTGCTGGCCTCTCACAATGTGAGTATATTTGCTATTAAAGACGTAGTACTGTTTCATGTTGGGTCTGAATTCATGTTTCCTAAACTTTTTAAACATATATTTGTAAAGATCCAGAAATAAATGATGCTACGCAAGAACCAGTTAACTGTACAAACTACACCGCTCATGGTAAGACTTCAGGGTAGTATCTTTAAAGATAACTTTTAAAACAACTACTGTATTTCTTAGATTGATGTATCACCACCAAAGGTAATGAATATGCTTTTTCTTAGATTATATACAATTATTCAGTTTTCAGAACAATTTAAATTTGGAGAACTGGCTATGCGCTGTCATAAACTGATTAGTTTCTTTGTTTCCTGGCAATGCTAAGCATGTGCTCTATCACTGAGCTGATTTAAGTTAAAAAAGAATCTTATTCTAATTATATAAACTGGTAATTTTATATTTTCATTTTTTATTTTAAACCTTTAGAATCAGTTTACATTGCTGCTTTTTCTTTTTCACAGTACAGGGGACTAGACCCAGGGCCTTCCTGTGAAGCTATATCCCCAGCTCTTTTAAATTATTTTTGTTTTTAAGACAAGGTCTCACCAAGAAGCTAAGTTGCTCAACCTGTGCCTGAACTTGTGGTCCTCTAGCCTCAGCCTTCTAGAGTGGGGATTATGAAAGTGCACCACCACACCCAGCTAAGGTTTTTTAACTGCTATGTAAAACATAAAAATCTCAAATATAGCACTTTATTTCCCAAGCTATATTATGCAAAGGTAATCCTTTACTTTGCTGAACAGGAACTTGCACTGAGACCCTTAATTCAATAAAGCACAATGAGAAACTGTACTGCCCATATTAGGTGCTTGTAACACATACTGAAGTATGTCCTGAGTATGAAAACAGCAGTAAGGACTTCCGGTATGCTTGAATAGTGGGGAAATATTTTGGTAATGGGTAACACATTCAGCCTGATGACGACGGGGAACTTCGGTTATTCCAAATTATGTGTAGTGCCAGATAGCATTTAACAGACTGTTCCCTGTTCAGTGTTTTCATCAGAGGGGTACATATTACAGGGAAGAGGAGCCATATAGATGGGTGTTGAAGCTATTTAACGTTCCTGTTTGATGGCAATGAAATGATATTAATTTGAGGAAAAAGTAATAATGAATACTGGGTTTGTGTGTGTGTGTGTGTGATGCTAGGGTTGGAAGGCAGGGCCTTGTGGATGCTGGGCAACCACACTACCACTCAGCTACACTCTCAGCCCTGTGCTGATTTTTAAAAATATCTCAGGAAATAAGCAAGTATTGATGTTTTCTTTAAAATAAAAGGCGTCCTTAAGTATATCTTTTTGTGGCTTGATAGCTCATTGCTTTTCAGCATGGAATAAGATTCCACTGCAGATGTTTCACAGTTTGTTTATCCACTTATCTGTTGAAAGACCTTTTGGTGGCTTCCAGGTTTGGGTAATTAGCAGTAAAGCTTCTGGAAATTAAAAAAACAACAACAAAAGACATTATCAACTTGCCAGAGCCCCCTGTACCCTCATGCTTACTAGCCTGCCTCGGTGGTAACCATTTTTCCTACCTAGCGTTTTTTTTTTTTTCTAGTAGCAAAGGTTATTTGAAAAAGTGCAAACAAAGAGTGAGGGAGAAACTGGCTCTATCGAGCGAGCTTGGGCCGAGAAAAAGGAAAAAGCAAGCTAAGAGTGCACCCTGGAGAAAGCAGGGCATCCTGTCTTGAAGAAAGCCGCAGTAGCCCCTGTCCAATTCTAAAAGCATATGTTAGCTTTGCAAAGAGAATATTATTTGTCACTTTGCTTGGCGATGACTTCAGGCTTGGGAGAAAGTTCCGAGAGGAAGAGAGAGCACTGCAGAGAGCCAGCGCCCTCAGGCCGGATGTGCCCGCTGTCAGCCTGGGGCCCGCTTGGCTCCCAGTGGGTGTCGGTGCGAGCTTGCTCTGCTTGGCCCCCCTCCTCCCTCCTCTGTTACTTGCCCCACTTTGTGTTTCTCTTCCGAGAGAGATCGTCTCTCAACGTGAATGGTTTACTTACAAACATCAGTACATTTAGTGGCATACATGCTTTTTTAGTCCATATTCTAATTTCATAAAACTACCCAAAGGCCTTTGTAGCATTGCCCTTCATTTTAGGACAGGATCCTTAATAATCAGGCTTTGCGTTTGGTTTTCTTTTATTGAAACATTTCCATGTCTTTGTCTTTTGTGACACCAGCATGTTTGACAGCTGTAGCTAGCCCCTTTTATTTTAATAATGTTCCTCCTTTGAGATTGTCTGGTATTTCTTTATGGCTAGACTGAGGTTATACACTCAGTTACTTTTCTCATTGCTGAGACAAAATGCCTGACACCCAAAGTTATAGGAGGAAGGTTTATTGAGCTGACAGTTTGTGGAGGTTTCAGTCCATACTTGGCTGGCTCTGTGGCAGGGTGGCGTGGCAGAGGGCCTGGTAGAGGAGAGACCGTCCGTGGCAGAGCAGGCCAGGCAGAAGGCAGCAAAGCAACAGTGCAGCAAAGAACAGCTCAAGTGCCGGCAGCAGCCCACTTTCTTTCCCTCACTTTCCATTTCACCCACTCACACCCAGCGTAGGGCACCATCAATCCCAGCGTCACACACTAGCTCCAGCCCCCTCCGAAAAGCCCCACTGTGACTGCGTGAGACTTTAGGGGAACAGCGGGGAGATACGAGCTGTAACAGCCCTGAGGGCTGAGGGATTACATAATGTGGGGTAGCCTCAGCGTTTCATCTGGGGCATGTGGTATCTGTCCCTCAGTGGGAGTGGCCGTTGTCGAGCACTCTGATTTTTTACTGTATGGTTAAATTTTCTTTGAAATGAACAAACAGTCCATGGGGAGGCTTATTAAAGACCATGCAAATAGCCTACTCCTCATCAAAAATTTCCCCTAGGTTTATCATCCATCAGTTGTTCTGGCCCAAAGGAGTTTTTACTCTGATAATTGCAAAATGCTGATTTTTTTTCTGCCTTAGCAGTCCCAGAGGAGATCTGTCTTTTAATGCTGGAAAGTGGCTCTTGCCAGCTTTACCTCTAGACTTTGTTTTCACCTGAACTCTGGATTGGCACATTTAATTAGCTAGTCGTGATGCAGTATAACTTGCTACAGAACTAATATCCAGTGTGGCCCTTTTTGGATCAAGACTAAGGGAACTTGACTGACAGATTATTTCTAGGTTAGCTTTTCTCTATGTGTCCGTGTCTGTTTAAAATTAAAAAACAAAAGGAAAAATAAAAGTAAAAAGCAAAAGGTACTGTCGGTGAGGCCTGGGCTTCAGTCCCCAGCACCGCACACGTGCGAACATACATAAGTAAAACGCGGCAAGGCGCTGTTCTGCTGTTTGTCTGCCTGCGGGAGTGGCCGCAGGGTGTGGGGTGTGGACTGGCATCCCGAGGGAAGGGCGGTGTCCGGGCTGGGCCTGGGCCAGGACGTCATCTGCTTACCCAGCCGCCCTCCAGGAAGACACGGGAATTCTGAGACCTCTGCTGCCTCCTCCTTTGTGCTCCTGTGTCTGTCGGGAACCCCAGGGGCCCGGGCTCTGCAGCCCTGGAGCTCGGTGCTCCTTCCTGGAGAGTGCACTTCTCCCCACCCTTCCCAGCCCGTGTCCAGGGGAGGGACACGGGCACCGGGGAGGGACACGGGCACCGGGCACGGGCACCGCACCGTACCGTGTCGTGTGAGCTGCGAGAGCTCTGCCTCAGCAGGGTGGAGCCAGGGCCTGGCCGTGGGGGACTCCCCTGCCTCTGAGCTCCCCCTTCCGCTCGCTGATGCCTGTCCTGGTCCAGGGGCACTGCGGAGGCCCGGCTCGGCTGTCACCACCCAGACCCTGGTGATGCCCACACCTAAGCCTTGGTGCCAGAAGCTGCGCATTGGGTGGGTTTCAGGCTCATAGCCGGTGCCTCACTTTGGGTACATGTTAGCATGTGTCGGTTACTGGCTGCTTTAGTCTTGGCGTATTGACTCATCTATTTTTGCTTCTTGCTGAAATCAGTGTTAGCATGGAATTAGTGTGCCATAATAGGGAGAGTATTGACTAAGAAGAGTGAGTTTTAGCCGAGGACACAGAGAATTACTTGCTTAGGGCGCCTTGGTCAACATTTAAGTTCCTGGAGATTCAGCTCCTGCTTACCAAGGAACCAGGAGCGTCCGGCTTTCCTGCCTTTTGGGACAGGGTGCCACTGCTTAGGAACGCGGCCTGGCCCTTGCTGAGCACGCGTCCTCTCGCTGCCCTGCGCCTCCAGCACTGGTTTTGGCTTCTGGGTGGGTGTTATTGGGATGAAGTGAAACCGTAATAAGTGAGAAGCACGAGCAGGTGTAGGGGACAGGCTCTTTGGCGTTGGTGCCTCCCACATCACACACTGACCTCAGCTTCACAGTCAGCTCGTCCCCGCGGCGCGTGGTCCCTTCTGTCAGTCTTCTCGGCATCGGGCCCCTCCAGTCCTCGAGGGAGGGAGTCGGAGACTCCCAACAACTTCCTTATCCCGGCTCCACACTGCACACGGCGCTGCCCTCTTTGGACAGCGCTTTCCCAGAGGCCCGGCCGGGCGCAGAGCGGTTCCCAGACTTTGGCAGCACAGAGCTGGGCGCGGCCGCGTGTCTGGTCTTGTCTTTACTTCCCTGTGGTCTCTGCCTGTACTCACAGTAACGGCGTGCCCTCTTTCTCTAAGTGTGTCCTTTTCATCCCTTGCAACCAGTGGCACGGACTTTACAGATCACACCAGGGTGGTTTCTCCTCACTGGAATGTACCTCTTTCCTCTGCTGTATCTTTCTTGAGGTCAGTGTGGGCCTCGCTCACCCTCCTCACCGTTTCTCATATTAATACAGATTAGCTAGGAGAAGTGATTGAATATCATTAAAAACTAAAATTCAAATATGGCTGTTTAAATAGTCTGTAGAATCTAGTTAAAAATAGAAAAATACGGTTTCTCCATCTTTTTTTTTTTTTTTGGTACCAGGGATCAAACTCGGGACCTTGCGCTTGCGAGGCAGGTGGCGGAACCACTGAGCTAAATCCCCGGCCTTCTCCATCTTTGGTAGTGTTTTTACAAGGCATTTTTACAACCACCCATCCAGCTCGGTTGTTACAGTTTTGTACAGGGAGCTGGAGGTGGAGCTGGAGGTAGATCACTTGCCCACAATTCACAAGACCGGAGCTTGGTCCCCAGCACCACCAAAAGAAGAAAACAAAGCATATTTGTACCAAACCTGTCTGTCTCCTCAGGAACAGTGCATCTCTGGTAGACAGGTGCAGCTGCAGATAACTTGCCTGATCCGCGTTTTGCTGTGCGACTGTCACTCGCTCTGATTCTCGGGCCTCAGTAGGAAGACCCTAAGCAGACTCAGGGCGGCGCCTGTGGGGAGAATGTCCCAGATGTGGCAGAAGCTTTCTGCTTCACGGCACAGTTCTCTCCTTAGTAGTTGGAAGATGGGGAAAAATTTTTATTGCATTTTATTTATTTTTTTAATAGCAGAACGTTTATTGGTCCATTTGAGGTCTCTGTAATGGTAACACTCATCATAGGGATTTGCACCTGTGCATGGTACCTCCCCCACTGCTTTCCCACCCCCTCCTCCCCTCCCTAGGTACAAAAGCTTTGCATCCAGTTTTTCCTTGTGTTCTCACTTTCTTTTTCTGTCCCTTCGTTTGTCCCTCCCCCCTCCCTTGTTCCCCTTCTCATTTGAACATTTTTTTCCCCATTTCCCAGTATCTATTATACATTTTAGTCCTTGTTTCTACTTTTGGTTTCTCACACCAGAGAAACAATGCAGTATTTACACACATGTGTCCAATTTATTTCACTTAAGAGTATGGTCTCAAGGTGCATCCATTTAGCTATAAATGTCTGAAGCGCATCCTTCTTTATGGCAGAGTAGTACTCCATTGTATTAAAAAACTGCATCTTTATCCATTCTGGTTGATGGGCATTTGGGCAGTTTCCAAGATTTAGCTGTTACAGACTGTGCTGCTATAAACATGGGTGTGCCTATATCACTGTGGTAGGGTGCTTTTAATTCTTTCAGGAAGACACCAAGAAGAGGTATAGCTGGGTCAAAGGGAGCCTCTAGTTTTAGTTTTTTGAGGAATCTCCACACTGATTTTCACAGAGGTTGCACCAGTCTGCACTCCCAGCAACAGTGGAAAAGCATTCATTTTTCTCCACAGCCCCGACAGCATTTGTTACTGGTTGATTTCTTGATAGCAGCCATTCTTTCTGGGGTGAGATGGAATCTCAGCATTGTTTTAATTTGCATTTCTTGAATGACCAGTGATGTTAAACGTCTTTTTCATGTATTTATTTGCTGTTTCTACTTCATCTGGGAAGTGTCTATTCATTTCTGGGTTAGGTCTTTAAATTAGGGGGTCTGATTTTTTTGAGTTCTTTATATATTCTAGATAGTAGACCTTTGTCTCAGGAACAGCTGGTAAAATTTTTTCCCACACTGTGGGTTATCTCTTCACTCTGTGGGTGGTTTCTCTTGTAGTGCGAAAGCTTATTAATAAGATGAGATCCCAGTTGTTGATTCTTTGTGATAGTTCTTGTGTGATCAGGGTTTTGTTCATAGTCTTTGCCTACACCTATGTCTTTGAGTCCTACCTATTCTATCTTCCAGCAGATTTGGTGTGTTTTAATATGAGGGTGGGAAAATATTTGAAGTGTTTTACTTGGACATTGAACCCAGGGGCTGTGGTTATGCAAGAGCTCCACTGCTGAGCCACACCCGTCACCCTCCGGCTGTGGGAAACCTGAGCTTGTAGATATTCTTGCGGGTCACTTTTTCTTTTTCGGGTTTGTGAGACAAGGTCTCCCTGGGTAGCCTAGGCTAGCCTTAAGCTCTCAATCTTCCTGCCTCAGCCTCCTGAGTGCTGAGATCACAGGTGTATGTTGGTCACTCCCTTGGGGAAAATGGGATGTTCCTCATCAAGGCAAAATCTCAAATTTTTTTATTTTTTATTTTTTTGTACCGGGGATCAAACTCAGGACCTTGCGCTTTCGAGGCAGGCGGCAGAACCACTGAGCTAAATCCCCAGCCCTAAAACCTCAACTTTTATTTTATTTATTTTTTATTTTTGGTACTGGGGATCGAACTCAGGTCCTTGTGCTTGCGAGGCAGGCGCCAGAACCACTGAGCTAAATCCCCAGCCCAACCTCAACTTTTAAACACGATGTCTCTGACTTACGTGCTGGATGACTGAAATACGGGTCTGCAGCGTGGGCTTCCTGGACTCGGGGCAGGCAGGCTCCCTAGGAACTACGCACGCCGAGTGGTGTGCTGGTCGGGACATGATGGCAGAGTGCGGCATCTCGGTGTCTCCAGGCAGCGCGAAGGTGTGTTTTCAGTTCCAGAGGCTGAAAGTCTGGTACTGGGGCGTCGGGGGCCCTTGCTGCCTCCCAGGCGCTGGGTGGAAGCCGACCTTCCCTTCCCAGACTCCTGGCGTCCGCTTCTGCCTTCGTCTCCACCTGGCCTCTGTGTCCTCCTGGCTGCAACCAGAGCATCGGGGAAACTGAGCCCCAGGTCCGTGGGCAGGACACTGCCCCTTATGTGTCAGTGGCCTTGTCTTTAAGGTGGACGCTTTGATACTGTGGTGACTCAGCTAAGTCTGAAGAGCCTGTTTCCAAGTGAGGCCACGTTCTGAGGTACTGGCAATTAGGATTTCAATAGACTACCGGATGCTGTTGTATATCCATTCTTTCCTCAAATGGTGATAAAGTTTCTAATTTTTTTGGTCTTTTGAGACAGGGTCTCGCTGTGTACCTGGCCTTGAACTCACAGTGATCCTCCTGCCTCAGCCTTCGGAGTGCTGGGATTACAGGCGTGTGCCACTGTTATTGGACGGGGTAGGGACCAGCAGTGTTTTCCAGGTTCTTATTTGTCCTGATCAATGACTTGGTCAGGGCAGTTGGTAGATCAGAAAGACTACTGTTTACTTAAGGCAGAAATCAGAAAAGGAAAAGGAGAAGCACAAAAAAAGTGCTCAGGGAGGAAAGGGCGCTTGGAAGGAAGGAAGATAGCGAGAGGGCAGGGCACAGCCAGGCGGCCCGTCCTTGCTGGTGCGGGCTTGCCCGTGTCCAGTCGGGCGCTGCTGCTCTGCACCCCTGCTCTGCAGGTCTCCTCCGTGGCAGGTCCACCTCCTGCCCCGCCACCCAGTTGGCACATCCTGAGCCTCAGACAGTCGCTCTCTCCAGTCAGGTCTCAGGCGGGGATGACGGCTGTCAGGTTCCCGTGGCTTTTAGACTCTTAAAGAGAGGGCGCTGCAGCATTTCATTCTAAGAGCGACGTTACATATGCTGGAAAGGGTAGCTTCTGCAGCCATTTAAGCTCACGATGCCAAGTCTTAGGTGTGGATGTGTGAGGGGCCTAGTGGAAGAAGTCACAAGCGAAGTGTGTGAGCAGCACTTTGCAGGACCGTTGGTGGGCCGCGTGTTGCTCGGGGGTGTCTGTAGCAAGTCCAGTGACATCCTGGCCTCTGCCTGCCACCAAAACTGACTGCAGCTGTCGCCACAGGTCCAGTGGGGCAGAATCACCCCCTGATAAGGTGTAGAATAATAGCGATCCTATTTCAGGTCCAGCAGGGTTTATGTCCGCATCGGACATTTGCTGACCTTGCTTTCGAGTTGTTTGTGCTGTAACTGCCCGGGAGCATGACTTAGATTTTCCAGAGATATAATCTAGGAACATGATAATTTGTTTGTAGAAGTCAGTAAAAATCATCCCTGTATCAAGGCAGGTGGCCAAACAGCTACATGACAATTGTTAACCTTTTACATTTGTGTGTGTGTGCCGAGGATTGAACCCATTGAGTGCTGAGCTCCATTCCCAGCCGTTTGTCTGTCTGTGAGTTTGTTATTTTGAGACTCAGTTGCTCAGGCTGGTCCGGAACTTACAGCCGAGCTTCCTGGGTGGCTGGAATTGCAGCCCGTGCCTGGCTTAGGTGTGGACTTTGGCCGGTCTCTGTGTGCACCTCAGCATCTGCCCTCCCTGGGTGGAAGCCTCCGCTTTGTAGAGGTCCTGGCAGGGCCGCCTCTGAGCAGTCTGTGTCCCTGTATAAGGAGCCCAGCTGGGGGCTGCTGCAGGGCCGCCGTGTGGGCTGGTGCTGTAAGCTTGGCTGGCCCTCAAGCCTCCAGAAAGTGCAGCCAGATTTGTAACTCAGTTGTCAGTGCCTTTCCTCCCTCTGCTCTTGCACGTGGTTAGCGTGGTTAGCTCTTCACTCTGTTGCCCCTTCACTCAGTTTAAGTGCTCCCCGGGTGTGTGGAGTCTGTACCTTTTCTTATCTCACTTTGTTTTAGACGTTTCAGTGCATTCCATAAATAGTTAAAATTTATGGGAGCCCTAGTTTGAGTTATCAAGATTCCAGTGGACAGGTACAAAAGTCCTCGTGGGGCTTTTTTCCTGCTGTCATTTTCTCTGTGTACTAGTCTGGCCTGAAAAAGGACAATGATTTGTTGGAAACTGTAAGATAATTATAAACTAGTCAGAAAATACCATCTTCTGCTCATACTTAAACATCAAAGTCTATGTATGTTTACGTAGATTACTACACAAAGTTCTATTCACATTTTCTGAAAAAAACTAGTTTATGCTAAACAGAGTTTAGAATTTTCTGAAACTGTTGAATTCGTGCTGTGTGCTTGCTGTCTAGGGACTTTTGCATCTCTCATCCCCACAACCTTCAGGGTGTCGGCGAACTTAATGCTGTTTTGACCACAAGGAATCCAAGGGCTGCTTTATGGTAGCTGCTCTCAGATTATGTTCAAACACTTGCAGTTTAATAGCTGAATTCCCAACAGAGTTCAGAGTGTCCTTCATCCTAGGGTCGAGCTGAAGGGCAGTAAGGTGCAGCCCTCCCATCCCTGTCTCCACCTGAGGCAGAGGTTGAGCTGGGAGGCCCTGTGCATGCCCTCAGGGTCTAGGCAGGTGCTCTGTGGCTCTGTGGAGTTGTTGGCTGTAGAAGTGCCTGTGTCACACAGCCTCTCCTAGACGACGCCCTGTGGACTGTGTCACACTGGGAGGTACTTCGCTGTGACCTTACATTTTTTTATGTACTTCTGCCTTTAGCTCCGTGTTTCCCAGCACCCAATATAACATGTAAGGATCTCAGAGGCAATGAAACTCATTTTACTGGCCAAGAAGTTGGTTTTCTCAAGCCCACACCTTGCCGAAATGTGTAAGTACATTACTGAAACTTGAAATTTCAGATTTCTTGCCCGTGTGCTGTGTGCCTGACATGGAGCAAAGAGATCGTCTGTGGAGGGAGTCCTGGAAGTGCACCCTTATCTTCCTGCTGGTGTCACTTGTGCCCATGTTTGTGTAAATGTGGCCCGAGGGCCAGGTAGCGGTGCCCTGGCCCTGGGGGAGGACGGGCCATCGTGCCTCATGCCCTGTGGATGCAGCTGTCAGCTTCTGCCACCACTTGGGTCATGAGAGGGCTCTGGTTCCAGAATTCGGGGGCTGCTGAATGTAAGCAGGTTTTGTATGCCTACTCTGTCAGAAAACACTGACCATTGCTAATCATTTGCGATTAAGGATATTTTGGAACTTGGTTTTATTCTTTGTAAGAGGTACAGAAGGTGAATGGTAATGTTAAATGGAATTCCGAAGTTAGCAGTTTGGGATAGTAAGACAAATGGATTTATTTTGTTAGGAATGTTTTCAAGTTTAATTTTTAGTTTTGCTGTGTTAAAACTTACTTCCCATTCTTATATTTCTGCTGAAAACACAATTTGCTTTTACACAATTTTTTTTTAGCTGCTTCCACTTGCGGTACTGGGGTTTAAACCCAGGGCCATCACATTCAGCTGCACCCCCAGACCTTTTTCTATTTTTGTTTTGAGACAGGGTCTCACTAAAACACTGAGTTGCCCAGGCTGGGCTCTTAACTTGCAGTCCTCCTGCCTCTGCTTGCCAGAGTGCCGGGATTGTAGGTATACCACGCCCGGATTATGGGTGCTTTTTATTTGAGGGTACCTAGTTGCAGTTATATCAAGAAATAAACACTGTTTAGCTATTTGTTTCTTTCTTTTTGGGGGACGGGGGGTACTGGGGATCAAACTCAGGACCTTGCGCTTGCGAGGCAGGCGGCGGAACCACTGAGCTAAATCCCCGGCCCTCTTTTTTTTTTAATAAATTTTATTTTATTTTGTCCCATTCCCCCGCTCAAGCTCCCTCCCCTCCCTGCGTACAGAAGCTTTGTTTTCATTTTTTCTTTCTATTTTCACTTCTGTTTGGTGATGTCCACAGCTATTTTCAGAATCCCTAAAAGAACTTTTGCCTTTATTTCATTGAGTTAATGAGGGCTTTTGATTCTCTCCCGCTGTATAACCCTAAGGCGATCACTTAACCCTGAGTTTCAGAATTTCTCATTAGCAAAGCAGAAGTTGTTAAAGGAATTATTTCTAAGGTATTTAGGCATGATCTCATCAACTTTTAAGTTATAGATTGATTTTTCTACTGTGAACATCTCGAGCACATTCCGGTACTGGGTCCTGTGCTGAGCATCTCGGATGACAGCTGAGAAGCCCTTTGCCAACTGCTGGGGTTACCTGGCTCTTCCGCTGTCTTAATGTGTACCAGTTTTGTTACGTTTTTCTGCTCTCCTGCCCGTTAGATCCCTGTCTGAGTTTTGTCAGAGTCCTGATTTCTTTTTCTGCCTCTCATGTTGTGGCTCTTTCTGGCGTAGCTGGGGTGCTACTTCCCTCAGTAAAGTCGGGTGCCGTTGCCATATTAGACCTGTGAGCAGGCTCCGTGCCCCGCAGGTTAGTAGAAGTTCTCAGCCTGTGCCCTGGGAGCCCTCCCTGGTCGGCACGGAGGGCCTGTCTGTCCCCCTCATGCTGCCTTCCCCTGACCCCAGCATGCTGTTTGCTATGTGATTTCGCCTTCACCCCTCGCTCCTCGGTCTCCTTTTGGGCTTCTGCTCTGCTCCTTGATCTCTTCGTGTTGGAGCTTCACGGCTCTCCTTCCATGTGTGCTCACAGGGCATGCGCGTGCCATCAGTGTGTCCTCTGGGTCTGGACCTGTGTTCTCCAGCCTGGACTTCTCTCCATGACTCCAGACTAGAAATCCAGCTGCTTTTTGGACGAGACTGCTTGGCTGTCGGACAGACACCTCAGAGTCACATATCCAAAACTGAAACCCCAGTTTTCCTTCCCAGATCTCTGCCCCCTCAGCTTCCCCAGCTCGTTAGTGCTGGCTTCACCCTTCCGGTTGTTGAGGAAAGTCTTCAGTGCCGCCCTTACTCCTTTCCTTTCTCATACCCTAGCTTTAATGCACCAGGCAGGAGGGTCACAAGTCCACGGCCAGCCTGGGCTGCACAGTGAGACCCTGCCTCATAAACAAACAAACAAAAACAAAACAAACCAGGAAATGTAGGTGGCCGTGCCTGAGGGTGCTGTGTACCCAGAATCCAGTCACTTTTCACGATCTCTGGGGCTCTGGGTCAGACACTTAGCACTGTGGAGTTTGAGTTTGCTCAGCTCACGCTCCAGCCTCCCGCCCTTGTCGGCCCTTGTCAGGAGGCCATGTAGACTCCTGAACCTCAGCACACCACATGGTTGATTGTGGGTGTGGCTGCAGCACTTCCCGTGGCCTAGAAACGGAAGCTCAGGTGTGGGGCCTGTCTTCCCTTCTCTCCTTTGGCGCTGTGTTCTGGAAAGAACTGGCCTCAAGTAGCTGCTACACTGTGAGTTTTGGGTCTAGGAGACCCAGCATCTGCAGCCTGGATCTGTGGGCTCACCCTGTAGCATGGTTTCCAGCCACCGGGTTTGGGGATAGTTGTTATGTGACATGGTAGTGGAGCAGTTGACAAGTGCACTTGGAGTCTAATTTTCAGTACAGCAGCCAGAGTGGTTATTTTACAGAGTAAACTAGGTTGGGTCCTACCTTTGCTTCAGATCCTGCAGTAGCTTCCAGTTCTCAGAGTAAGAAGCAGTGGGGCACAAGGGACAGTCTGCTTCCTTCACTTCCCACGTCCTGTCTGCCCCCACCGCCTAATGGTCTTCCCTGTTTGCTCCTGCTACTGGCTATGTAGACCTCAGGCCTGCAGGTTTTGTTTTTGCCTGGGACACTGCTTCCTGTGAGGTTCGGCTTGGCGAAACTCATGTCCTTCTTTGGGTCTTTGTTCTGACATCACCTTCTCCAGAGGCTCATCTGACCACTACATTGAGTGTGGCCTCCCATTCTGGATTCCCCGCATAGCCTGCCATTCTGGAGTCCCTACACGCCCTGGCATTTTGGATTCTCATATACCCTTTGCATTTCTTTTCTTTTTTCCCCCTCATGACAGTTATGACTTTCTATCAATACAATTTGCTTTTCTCATAACTTTGTGTTTGGCTTGCTGCCATGAAAACATAAGCTGCTCAGAGACAGGAATCTTCATTTTTTTCTTCAGTAATATCTCCCAATAGCTTTAAAAATTGCCAGGCACACAGTGGCACCTACCAAGCGTTAGGGGAATGAATGAATGAGCCAGTTAACCAAGACTAGTAATTCACAGTTTTGTTTTCTAATGTGCTCACAAATTAGAACTACATGAACATGACTGTGGTTTTCCTTTTGCACAGAAACGGCTACTCATACAAAGTGGCGGTCGCGCTGTCTCTTTTTCTTGGATGGCTAGGAGCAGATCGATTTTACCTCGGGTACCCTGCTTTGGGTGAGTATGTGTCAGCAGGGAAGCACATGCAGTCCTTGGGAGGCCGTGTTGTGTCTAGGTGTGTGTGTCCTTGCAGACTGCATCCCGCAAGCCGTGCGTCCTTGCAGTGGGTAGGGCACCTCCTCCAGCTCTGTGTTCGGCTTCGGTGAGAAATAGCGAGTTCTGTGTGTGTTCTCCTTCAGCAAAGCACACCCAGGAAGTGCAGGCCCTGGCCGAAAACGCCAGCCTCTCCCAAGCCTTTCCTCCACCCTCTGCTGCTGCCTGCCCATCATGGACAGCGTTGCTCCGAGTGGAGGCGGGCCCCTCCGTGTGCCCGGCTCAGCCTCTTGCGCGCTTGCTGTCCTCGACAGTCCTAGGAGAGCGACTCACAGGTGACCGCGGCTCCTATGAAATAATCCTTCCTTTCTAAGGAAATCTTACTTTTGCTAGTGCACTGCATAATGACCTCCTTCCGGGCTCACTCACTCTTGGTATGCCCCTGCCCGCTCGCCCTCCCATAGTCGTGTCACGCACCCGCCCTGCCTCAGCCTCATGCTCTGAGCTCATCGTCCCCTAACAGGCAGGCAGACTGTCCCCGGGAGGCCTTGCTGTGGTCTGTGACCCACTTGTTACCATCCCTGTTTATGGAGAGAGAAACTGTCCTGAGATGAGAGAGTTACTCGGCCACTTGGCTCATGACCTGAATTTGCACTTTGTTTTTTTGTTTTGTTTTTGGTGGTACTGAAGATTGAACCAGTGCCTCATGCACGCCAGGCAAGTGCTCTGCCACTGAGCTGCATCCCCAGGCCCGAACCGTGAATTTGAACCCAGGTTTCCTGGCTGCAGAGGCCAGGCCTTCTTCACTGAGCAGTGTGGAGGTCTGGTACTCTGCTTTCCCGCCTGCGGCAGAGCTGAGCCTGCTACCCATGGGCCATTGCCCACTGGAGATGGAAGAGGAAACCACTGTGGGCTGGGTGGAGTTCCTCAGTCAGACCTGCAACTCTGGCTATGAGTTTCTAAGTAAAACCCAAACTTTAATGTACTGCATTTGCTAATTTATTCAGCTAAACATTTCTTCAGGAGTAATGATGAAGATCACAGTGCGTATTGACTGAAAAGAAAATAAACATGAAGTAAAAGCTGACCAGGGGGGCACACGCCTGTGATCTCAGCACCCTGGGAGGCTGAGTGTGTCAGTCGGGTTACTGGAGTGACATTTACTATAGTAGCATGCATGTGGTTTGCAAGGTGGGCTTACAGTGGCCGTCTTCAGAGCCAGGGTGGGGGGTCCAGAAGGGCCTGTGCGCCTGGAGGCCCCAAGGGTCCAGCCAGGTGGATGGCCTGGAGCTGCTGCAGAGCCCATTGGAAGCCAAAGGGTCTGGCTGGAGGCCGAGCCGGATGTCCAAGGCAAAGGTGGAGGCTGGAGCTCCTCCAAGGAACAAGAAGCTCGCCTGCCTTCCTCTTTCCCGTTCATCCCGTTCAGGCTACAAGCCTTTCGGTGGTGCCTTTCAATTGGGCAGGTCTCCATCTGCTGAGTCAGTTGGGCAGCAGTCACCTGTCTCACCCAGGAGGAGGAGGAGGAGGATGGACCGGACCGTTCAAGCCCAGCCTGCACAGTGTGTCAACTGAACGAGACCCCGTCTCATTTGAAAACCCTAAAAAGGCTGGGATGCTGCTCGGTGTGAAAGCCCTGGGCTCACCTCCTAGTACTGCAAGGGAAGATGAAATGTTAGGTCCTGGCGCTACGGCTCAGGGGCTAGAGGCCCTGCCGGACAGCCTGGTCTCCTGGTGCCTTTCTGTGGTCACTGCGGCTTCGTCTCACCAGCCGGAGTCGGAGACCCTGCCCCGTGGGGCTCTTCCCGTTCCGTGCTTTGGGGCTGTGTCCTGTGCACATCTTAGCTTCAGTGCTGATTCACCTGTTCCCGAGTTTTAGTTCTTGGGTTGGGACCCAGCACAGACCTGCTGGCTCCGATTGAGCGCTGATGAACGGGATGGCTCAGGGAAACTGTGGGCTTGTGAGTTAAAAACACAGGGTCTTCCTGATTTTATTTCTAGCGTGACACATTACGTATTTTGTACACAAAATGTAAGCAAAGTTTGGATCGCATATTATGTGCAGTCTAAATGAACCAATAAAGACTGGAGGGGAGGTTCTCTGACTGGTGTGTGGGACGCAGAGGTCTGGTTTGCATGTCTCCAGAGTGTGCGGGAGGTCACCCCCAAGGAGTTTTGTGAAGCGACTCGGAGCTGTTTTTTTTCTGGTGGTAAAATTTATTTGTTAAATAAATTAATGAATTATTTTGTGGCTTTTCTCTACATGAGATTTCTTTAATCTTTCCTCATATTTTCAGGTGGAGATTTGAGTTTTTAAAGTATTACTTTTATGTTCTAAATATGAAGACTTCTAACTATGAAGACTACACTGGTTTATTAGAACGTGAAATTTGTTAATATTTGTAAGATTTCCTAGGTTGTAAGTGACTTTACTTTCTTTTCTAGGTTTGTTAAAGTTTTGCACTGTAGGATTTTGTGGAATTGGGAGCCTAATTGATTTTATTCTTATTTCAATGCAGGTAAGTTAGCTTCAACCTGAAACGGAAACTACTTTTAATGTATTAATATGTGTGTAACTCAGTCACTTTGTACGTGACCAGATGGGAATTCTCTCTCAGTTTTTCCTGAGATGCAGCGAAGGGGGTGTGGTTGTGTTTCCAGCTGAAGCATTTCCCAGGCTATGGCCCTGAAAGACACAAGTTGTTCCTAGGAAGAAGCTGCCCGCCCAAGTCCCAGTGCAGAGATGAGAGCAGCGAGCGCAGGGTGCTGCTTTCCTGAGTGGCTTCTGAGTCTCCCCAGCTGGCCCTGGTGGCCTCGGTCACTGTGGCCCTCACCACGGCAGAGTGCAGATGCTCTGATGCGTGCGTGTTGCGGGGCAGGAATGAGCCAGGTCCTGCGCTGACCTTCTGTCAGTGCAGGTGTGGAAAGGGAAACCTAGCAGGCGTACATGAGGAGCACAGGAAGGTGCAGGTGCCTGTGTAGGGCCGGGGGGCAGTGCAGGGCCTGGCGTGCATACCCAGGGTTCTCTGTCCCGCTGGCCACACCTCCTCCGTGACAGTGAGGTGCTGTCCCAAGCACTGTGGGTACCACACTGTTTTCTGCTCACTTCTGCTGGGCTGCGTGTGGTGAGCTCCCGACAAATGCCCCAGTTGGAGGGAGATGTGTTTACTCAGCACCTGGCCCGCAGCCTGTGCCGGGGGCCCCAGCTTTGCTTCCCAGCCTGCACCTGCACTGCGCGATGGCTGCCGTGCAGTTCTGTGCCCGTCAGAATCCACGGATTTGGGAACATACTGTGAGGGGGAGGCAGCATATGGACCAATAAGATACCAGAATTAAGCAAGGGAAATATTTGAGTTTCAAGTCGGGCTTCTCCTGCCTTCGCTCTGAAACATATGCCCAGCCCAGCCCTCCCTGCTTTGCCGCCGGGGACAGGAAGCGGCAGGAAGAGGCTGAGGGAGCTGTCACACACAACCAGGAGGGCTTCCCACTTGAGTGAGGGCCTGGGAGCTGAACATCCCTTGGATGCTTCAGATCGGAATCTGGAGTGTCAGCAAAGGCCAACTTCTCTGTAGGGCCTTGGCTTTGCAGCTGCAGGGACAGCAGGTTCTGGGCAGGTCTGGCACATGGGCTGTGTACTTATCATGTTCACAACCTGTCTGTCTTAGAGTTCCTGAGGTTGAATATCTGTCACAGTAGAAGAGTATCAGGAGCTCAGTGGTTCCGCCCCCTGCCGCGAAAGCACAAGGACCCGAGTTCGACCCCTGGTACCAAAAAAAGAAAAAGTATTGGGGTAGAAATTAGGACTGAGTTTCTGCAGTGAAGACATTTTAACAGGTGTGGCCAGTGTACAGCTTTCAGATGGGGTAAATGAGATGTGTAGCTTTATTCTGTGTGTTATTCATATGTTTCACATGTGATGTTGACTATTATCAGTTTCAGAGAATTTTTCTCAGCAAATCAAATTTTTTACTATAAACATAATATTATTGTCATGAATATATTTTTCCAATTTTTCAGTAGATCTTTTGCATTTTTTTGTTTATACTTCTTTTTTCATTTTTAAAGGGAGAAAGGTTTATTTAGCCCACTGTCGTAGGGCTCTGAGTCCATAGTTGGCTCCCTCCAAGGCAGAGGGGCGCTGCGGAGGGGAAACATTCATGGCAGCAGAAGACAGGGAGAGCAACAAGGGCTATTTATGCTTCTTTCCTTCCCTCTTGTCTGTTTTCTTCATGTCTGTTTGTTTTTAACTTTGCCATTAACTGTTATTCCCCAGTGAATAGCAGTGTTTTTCTGTTGGGCTCTGATCCCAGAAGCATACTGTACATGATGGAATCAGACCTTTAAAAACATTCCTTGGGCTAAGGGTGTAGCTCGGTGGTACACTGCTTGCCTGACATGTACGAGGCCTTGGGTTCGATCTCCACAAAGGAGGAGAAAAGGAAGGAAATCTTTGTTTTGTAACGTGTATAACAAAAATCTAGTTGTTTCATCTTACAGCCACAGCAGTATAAAATATAGTGCACAAATTGCCAGTATCAGCATGTTTTATATGTTGCTGTGTTTACTGAAATACTTTGAGTTCATTTTTTTAATAAGCATTGCGAGTTTCCATATTTTGTTCAGTGCATGGGGGGTGCTGGGTGTGAACTCAGGAATTTCCTGCCCAGCTGTCTCCCTGGACTTGTTTTTAGTTTGAGACAAAGTCTCACTAAGCAAGTTGCCCAGACTGGGCTCAAACTGGTGACTCTTCTACCTCAGCCTTTCAGAGTGCAGGGATTACAGGCATGCACCACCATGCCTGGCTAAATATTTTGTTCATGAGTGGGATGAACTGGTAAATAGATTGCAGTAAAAAAAAAAGTCTAAATCAGTGACACTTGTAGCATATGTGGTAGTCTTTCACCTGTAGATAATATGTATAGTGAGTGTGTGTGTGTGTGTGTGTGTGTCCTTTGCAGTGCTGGGGATGGAACCCTGGGCCTCTCACATGTGAGGCAGGTGCTCTACCAGAGAGCTATATCCCTAGCCCTTTTATTTTGGTATTTTGGGACAGGTCTGGCAAGGTTGCTTAGGTTGGCCTCACACTTGAGATCCTCCTGTCCCAGCCTCCCAAGTTGCTGGGATTGCAGGTGTGTGCCACCACACCTGGCTGTGTAATGGCTATTCATAAGCCAGTTCTGAAGACTTACAACACTCATTCCTCCATACCTGTGTACTTTACAGCATCGTGTGCTGCATACATAATGTGTTAGTCGGCTGAAACGGGCTCTAGATCCATGGTGGTCCCCTAAGGTTGTGGGGAAGTTAAGAAATCCTAGTGACATCAGAGCTGTCGTGAAGTCCTGGGATGGGCTTTAGTTGATGTTTGTGGTGATGCTGGTTGGGGTAAACCTCTTACACTGCCAGTCACGTGACACTATAGCACATAAAATTGTGCGCAGTACTCAGTCTTGATAATGAACGACCTTGTTACTATTTTATACATTTGCTATGAAATACTTTTTTCTTTAGTTTTTGAGACAGGGTCCCACTGTGTAGCCCAGGCTGGCCTTGAACTCAAGGCAGACCTCCTGCCTCAGCCTTGCTCCAGTGCTGGGATTACAGGCATGTGCCACCACGCCTGCCGATCACATTCTGTTGCGCAGGATCGCTAGAGAGGTGACGAGTACAGTTTGAGTTGATCCCATGAGAGACGCGTGGTGGGTTTTCTGCCACCACTGAAATGGGGGTTGCAAGCGCCAGTTTAGGTACAAGTTGAGGTTTTCCTAAGGACTGAGGTGTGACTGTCCCACGATTGAGCGGTGTGATAGTGGATTCCACTACCTGAAATGACAGCCTCCCTTGGAACTGTAGGCTTAAAAAAAAACCAAAACTTGATTTTTATCAGGTGTAATTCTTTCAGTTTTACTAAAATTTTAAAAAGCCTGGGTTTTCCAGTTGAGGCTGAGGTCAAAGTCATAGACTGAAAAGAGGTGTTTATTCATAGAACATCGAATTTTCAGAAGTAAGCAACTGTCCCCGGTCCGGGCCACTCCCTGAGCAGGTGAGCGCCGGGGTGGTTTTGCAGCAGGGGGTGGTTGCTGAGAATTAGATTGGGCATGGAGGACAAAGAACAGAAAATAGGAGATTTGGTGACCACCCCTTAACACTGACTTCTATATGTATTTTAGGGTTTACATTTACTCTTCTTGCCGTAGACTTTGAACCTGTAGAAAGCCTTTATGTAGACAGTTTGAGTTTCCTTCAATCTTGTGGCTGCAGATAAAATTTCTCCAATCTCCCACCAGCCCTGTGTAGAAGGAGCATAGGAGAGGTGAGGGAAGTCCACATCCAGGCCGTGGGGCGGAAGGTCCTGGGCTGGTCGGGGTGGCCTGGACGGCCCTGATTGCAGTGGGTCGTGGGGGAGGTTGGTCACTAGCCAAGGTGCCGCCAGTGCCGGCCGTCACACAAGCCAGCCGGAAGAGGCAGGCTGTCCTACAGAGCCCTCGTACCAGTGGCCCCGGCCCCAGCACTGCGTTTCTGCCTCGTAAACCCAGAACTCACCGGTGCCCTGAGACTGACAGGGAGGCTCGAGAATTTGCTCTTTCTCTCTGGGGCTTCTGCACAAGAGACAGCTGGCATTGTGGGAACTGCATCTGGGGTGCAGGGCCCTCCTTCTCCTCCTGTACAGGGGAGACCTGCAGCAACTCCGCTGGCTTTGGGGTGACGCCTGTGAGTGGTCTCCATCTTTCCACAGGTTTCAGAGGCCTGGCTGGCTTCACACTTCAGAGTTCGGCTTCAGAGTGTTTTGTTTGGTTGCTGGGTTGGGGTTTTTGCTTTTGTTTTTGGTGCTGGGGATTAACAGAGCCTTGCAGGTGCTAATAGTTCTACTCTTTTGTTGTTGTTTTTTGTTTGTTTTTGTTGTTTTGAGACAGGTCTCACTATGTAGTCCTCTGTGTGAAAACATTTCTAATTGTATAGTGAACGCTACAATCCCTGCAATCCAGGCCTGCAGCTGGTTAGTGCCCCACCGTGCCCCAGGCTCCCCTTTCGGACTGGCACTGGCAGAGCTGGGCCTGCCTGGGAGGCGCCAGAGGCCGAGATGGTGTCCCGCCCCTCCCTGTGGACAGTCCCACACAGCACCTGGGATGACAGAGGAACAAAATGTTTGTGCAGTGCTTGCTTTGGGGTTTTTGTTTGTCTTTTGAGATATCACACCCTGTTGCCCAGCTGGACCCCAAACTCCAGGGATCTGATAGCCCTTCTGCCTCAGCCTCCTGAATGCCTGGGGCAACAGGTGTGCACCACCGTGCCCAGCTGTGTTGGATAGTGCCTGTCAGGTGAGGAGTGCTGCAGAGCAGTTTTCTTCAAGCACAGCTGTATGACCCCAGGAGAAGTTTTTAAGTCTGTACCCACTGATATTACGTTTCCGCCACAAGCTTCCATAGTTATACGGGGTGTAATATCAAATATTGGCATATTTAGATAAAACTGTCACATCAGTTTATGTGGATCCAGCAGATGAAACACCACAGGGTTTTAAATACCATGCACTTCAGAAGACGTGAATGAGCTCTTCACAAACCATTTCCAAGTCCAAAACTGCTTCCTTTTCTACTTGAATTTTGATTTCTACTCCCCTCTCCCCCAAATGGTATCCTGATGTCATTTATCTTTGTGCTGGAAAACCTGTCTCATTCATTAGTTAAATTGTTGAAAGCTGTTGGCGATTTCTGGATTACTATAATCATCGTGGCACGGTTGATCAAACCAGCATTACTGTGCTAGGAGCTGGCCAGTTGTTTTTAAGGAAGGAGAAGTGTTGTGTCCCCCAGTATGCGTGTTTTCCGAGCTGGGCCTGGCCGGAGTGTAGCGCCTGCTGCCTCCTGGTGTGGCGCGAGGCTGGGGTGGCTCCGGTGAGGTCACTGCACTGCTCCAGGGCCAGGCACCCTGCGCAGGAGGGAGTCGCCTGACGCTGCACTCAGACTTCTGTGTGCTTGCTTTTTGTCTTGGGTACTGGGGTTCAACCTAGGGGCGGTCTACGCCCAAGACCCCAGTCCTTTTTATTTTTTATTTTGAGCCAGGATCTTGCTGAGCTATCCAGGCTGGCCCTGGATTTGAGACCCTCCTGCCTCAGCCTGTTGAATAGCTGGGACTGCAGGCATACCCAGCCTGGCTTGGGCAGATCTGCTTACAGAGTGGGAGTCGAACAGCTCAGAATGAATACCTGTTAAACTCTGAGCCCACCTCCCCTTGGCACATCCTGTGTACTCAGGCTGAATCTGAGGATGGCTGCCTGAGAGGTGGAGCTCAGGAGTCATGCTCACGGCATTGTCACGCATGAGCTTGTGGGCAGGCCGGCTGCAGTGAGCAGATGCTGTTTTCGCACGTCCTTTCCATGGCAGGACGGTCAGCGCTGAGACCCTGGGCAACAGCTCCACCGTGTCCAGGGCATCGGGGTGAAGTCGGCGGGCGGTCGGGCTGCGAGGATCCTGTCGCCCGCAGTGCCACTCAGTGACTTTTTTTTTTTTTTGGTACCAGGGATTGAATTCGGGACCTTGCACTTGTGAGGCAGGCGGCGGAACCACTGAGCTAAAATCCCCAGGCCATCAGCGACTTTTTATTTACTTTTTGCACTTGATTTAGAGTTGAGTTCTGGGGCTACTGAAATGCTGTTATTAAAAGCTGAGAAGAGTAGATGCAAAGCATTGTGCAATATGTTTGTAAGTGAGTAACTGACAGTTTCTCCTCCAGATTGTGGGGCCTTCCGATGGAAGTAGCTACATCATAGATTACTACGGGACCAGGCTGATAAGACTGACCATCACTAATGAAACCTTTCGGAAAACACAGCTGTACCCATGAAGACTGGCGGAGGGAAACAGTAAGTGATGTGTGTCTCACCCTCGTTATCCTCTGGCCCCACAGTATCCACTCTTAACGACCTACCTGGCTAATGACGTGGGGCTCGGACAGAGGTGCAGCCTGGACTTAGGAGTGTCTCCTTTCTCGTACCGTTTGTGGGGCCTCAGTGTCTCGGTCTGTGCCATGACCGGGTCGATACAGCCCGGGCTTCTGCTCATTGTGCTGCACTGCGGGCTTGTGTTCCGTGATGCAGCACAGTCCTGCACAGTCCAGCACAGCCAATGTCCTGCGTGCGGAGGACATTATGCAGATGACAGCAGCCATCGGGCGGGAGTTTCCTGTGACTGAAGGTGCCTGTGCTGAAGGTTGTGTATGCCCTGTGTACAGCTCCTCAATTAGCGACCAGTTCCTGTCGAGAGCTGGTTGTGGGAAGGGAGTTCCATCATTAAACGAGGGCGTCTCCCTCATGGACAGTCAGGAGCACTGCAGAGATGCAGAAACCAGAAGAGAATCTTGTGTGCTTGTCAGGAAGCCCCGGCCTCGCCTGCCCGAGTGCCCAAGTCCCCGGGAAAGGGTTTTTGGGGTGCAGACTCTGCAGTGAATGTGGCACAAGGACCAAGTTTGCAGGAAACAATGCCCTGGAGTTGGGGTAGGCAGGCAGCTGTGTGTGAGGGCTGTCAGGAGTGTGGGGCCCTCGGTGGTTCGGGACCACAGCCCTTTCCCGCCCAGGTCCAGTGTGGTCGTCAGCCCTTCTTTTCCTCTTCTCCAAACCTGGAAGCTGCCTCAGTCCGAAGCCTCACTACCCGGAAGCGCTGACTCTAACCTCAAGTTCGGCCTGCCCAGGCCTGTGAGAATCGCGCCACAGCTTCAGCCCTGAGCAGCGGTAAACCTATGCAGTGAGATGCCGTGTCTTCCGTTCCCCGTCCTGGTTCTCTAGGGCTCTCCTGCTCCAAGATTTTTCTTTCAGTTGCTCCCGAGTCAGTTCTCGAAATGTTCCAAGAACGCAGGATTTTGCCAGACTGCTGTCTGACGGAGAAGGCCTGTGTGTACAGCCCCTGGGAGCAGCAGTCGGCCTCGAGCTGGAGGAGCCCGGGCGGGTGTTCTGGCCCTCGGCTGAGGCGGGAGGGAAGAGACTGTGCCTGCCTTCTGTGTGGCCGGCCCTTACCGGGACACCTGGGACGGCCGCGCCTGTGGGGCAGGAGCTTTTCCCAGTGCAGCTGGCCCACGCTGCACGGTGACAGCCCTACGGGGCACGGGACTTAACTTGCGTCCAGCTGGAGGTCAAACAGCAGCAGGAGCCATGGAGTCTCAAGTTGAAACAGCTTCAAGATCCGCCTTTGAAAAGTTAAGCCGAAACAGAAAAATTAAGCAGCTGCAGTTCGAAAAGCCATTCCATTCTCTGCAGGCACCATGGGGACATCGGATGGCGTCCGAGGCGGGGCTGCCACGCCCGGTGTGCCCCCGAGCAGGAGGAGGCTTCTAGGGCTCAGGGACGTGTGACTGGGCCGGTGTGTCACACACTCACACCTACGCACACTGCGCCTGTGGTGTCCTCCTCGCCTTTTTAAATATTTTAACGTAAATCTTTTTTCTGTTTTAGGATTTGAGCCGCCTGGATTTTAATGTATGTGGACTCACAGATTCCCTTTTCCCTCTTCGCATGTCACCTCACGGGTTCTGTGGGGTTTTTGTGTGTTTATTTCTGGTTTGTTTAGTTAAAAGTGTGTCATTCTTAGATTTATTTAATTAATATGACTTTTTTCTTTAAAAGCCATATACCTGGGCGTGGTGGTGCATGCCTGTGATACCAGCACTCAGGAGGCAGAGGCAGGAGGATCACTGTGAGTTCGAGGTCAGCCTGGACACAGTTCAGGGCCAGCCTGAACCACATAGTGAGGCCCTGTCTCAAAAAATTAAATATATAAAAGCCGTATAATAGTCTTTCTCTTAAAAGGATTGTCTTTTGAGGCTGCTGCCTCTGTGAGACAGATGGCCGTTAACCCAGTGCTCTTCAGCGTTTTTACAAAGGCAGGTTGCCGTCTGTTGTTCCCCTTGTGAAGAATAAAGTCGTGATTTGCTGGTGTTTCCATGCTGTCTGTCACTCGAAGCCCTTCTCATCACCAGCTCACTGCGGTCCCTTGGAGGCCGGACAGAGGGCCTGGGGACCACCGTGACCCCTCCTGGTGAGCACTGCCGGGCCGGCGAGGCGGCCTGAGCAGAGTGGCCTCGGACCCCGGAAGGGCCGAGCGCTGCCCCCACGGGACTGTCCTGCAGCCTCAGCATTCCCGGGGCCTCCAGTGGTGGGGACAGCGGGATGGACAGCCGAGATGGACTGGTGGCCTGGCCTCCCCAGCCACTTACCAGTCGACACTGTGCGGCTGAGGGCATCGCTCTGCTGGGCTACGGCGGACTGCAGGGCCCTGCCCCCGGAGCTGGCCGTGTCTGCGAGGTCGCTGCAGTCCCTTCCCCCTGGGTGTGGACTCTGACAGCCTGAGGCCTGTGGCTCACATTCAGTGACACCAGATCTGCAGGTGGATCTTGAAAGCAGCCTTCGCTCCTGCCTCAGCATTGCTGTCCCCAGCAGGTCCTCTGTGGGCTCCAGAAGAGCCTCTGGGGCCTGGAAACGCAGTGTGAACAGCAGCCGCCCACATTCACATGGCACAAGGGCACTTCCAGTTTGCTTAATTCTCTGCTGCAGAATAGATGTGATGCTTTACCAAACACCTCTCTGTTCCATGATTTATTTCTTGCAGGCTTGCATGAATACATTACAGTTCTCCCCCCCCCCCCAGCCGGCCACGGTTCTCCCTGCCTGTTTAGGAGGAGGGGGAGTGAGCCCAGCTCACCCCAGGCTCCCTGTTGGGTCCCATGTTGGCCCCTCGGGTAGGGTAGCTCTGCGGGGACCCCATGGGTTCCTGTGTCTGCAGAGATGCTGGTGTCTCCGAGTGGCCATTTGCAAATGGGACCACTTTAGCCAAGAGCATTAGCAGTTTCCGGAAGATCTCTATCCAGAAATCGCTGTCCTAGATCCTGCTCTGCTTCTGTGACAGAGGCACTGGGCAAGTCAAATGGGGCAGAGGTGGGAGTGCTACCATGCTGGGGGCTGGGGACTCAGTGCCTGCCAGGTGCCCAGGTGGCGTGCTGGGATCTGCTGCATGGAGGGGCTTCGAGCCCAGCCTCCCCCTCCTCCAAGGCCACTAATCCCAAGCTGGGGAGGAGTTCAGCAGTAGAGCGCTTGCTGAAGGTGCACCAGAAATACATGTTGGAATGTATGCAGGTAAAGGACATCTCTCCCCCGATCTGGCACACCCCACGTGTGACCTGTGACCCTGCTTCCACTCCAGATCCCGCTCCAAGCCTCCCGTGACCGTAAGTATCGGAATCGGGGAATTCGGTTTCTAACACGGGACACATTCCATGGCACTCTTCAACTGAGGCTCCCTTCAGAGGTGGAGAAGGGCTGTCTGCAGCAGCATTTGTTCATGCGGCCACCGAGTACAAGAAATATTTTGGGGTGCTAGCGCACGAGGCCAGGTTAAGGAATATTGTTAGGTGCCTCAGGAGCTAAAACACACCTCATAACAAGCAAGTAACAAGGAAAAACTGGTTCCAGCGGTCAGAGGTGTGGATGCACGTGCAGGGAGGCGTGCCTGCTCCAGCTGCTCACAGCCCTTCTGCCAATCAGCATCTCTTGTTCTCATGACACAGTTGTACAAGCCTGATGCAGAAATTTTGGGAAAACACTGCAAAATTTAAAGAATATAAAGCATCTTATTTCGCACCCCAGAGCCAAAGTGTTTCTGTGTTTTTCCTTCCAGTAGTTTTTATGCATATGTACATTTTTCACAAAATAATAGACACAGCCTGCTTCACATTGTACAGATCTTTCTCTTTCAATTATCTTCTATTTTCAATTCTTTCTTCTTAGTGGCTGCAGTGTATTCCATGCCTGTGCCAATTTATGCATTGTTTGGAATTTGCTACCACACAGCAGTTTCCGATGCCCATGCGCGGTCCCAGCCCCAGGGCTGTGGAGGAGAGGTGACGTCGTGGCCCCGGCCGAGTTCAGACCAAACCTGGCAGCTGCTGGTGCCTGGTGAGGAATGCCACTGCCCTTCCCCGGCGTGCCCAGCAGTGCTGATGCTGGTCCTGTCCGTCAGGGGCCCAGGGCCGGAGCCGAGGTCGGAGCCACATGGTGCGGAGGGGCACGGGAGGATGGCGGGGTGCTGAAGCCGTCTCCGGTCGGCCGGAACCTCGGGGCTGGACTCAGCCTCTTCTGCGGCCCGGGACGGGGAGGGGAGGTTTGGGAAAGGAGGGTCACTGGTTAGGAGTCAATCCCGTTTTCCCCGCCTGGGATATGGACCCGTGCTTTGGCAAGTGCTCTGTCTCCGAGTTGCATCCCCGCCCGGGACTTTGAAATCTCGTGCGGAGCGTTTCCGGAAGAAAGGGGATTCGGCCTGTTTGGGGACCCTTTGCTTACCAGGTAGCTTGCTGTTTAGAGGAAGGAAGAACTTACTCCAACTCCTCCACTTTCTGTCACCGAAGAGCCAAGATCACGCGTGTGGAGCTGCGGCCCTGAGACCCGGAGTGCGGGGGAGCCGTGTCCTGCAGCTCCGCTTCATCCTGCGGAGGTCAGACGCACAGGAGGCAGGGCGCTCGGGATCACCGAGTCTTCTTGTTACTTGCGCGTTCATTTGACACAGGGATGAGGAGAACGAGGGCCCACAGAAGTCGTCCCCCCCCCCCCGGGACTCCACTGGCCCCTGCCACACCACCGACCCGGGAGACAGCGGGGCTCGCACCCGGGGTGCGCCTGCCCCGTCCTGTCCCAGTCACTGGCTCTGCCACCTCCCTCATGGTCCCCGGACAGAGAGGACGACGAGGACCGGTCACGGTCGCCTCGCGCACTGCGCTCTGTTGAAAGGGCTGCACAGCCTGCAGGTCCTCGCTCACTTGTGCTGGCTGTGGTTCCGTCTGTGGCTCCCAGCAGTGCCCCAGGTCCTCTCCCAGAGGTGGGTAGAGGCCTCCGGCGGGACACTGTTTACCTGCCTTTTCCTTAATTCCACTGTTGTCCTTATCTGCAGCCTCCTGGTGTAGTAAGGGCCCAAAATGCCTCTTATTTCTCAAGAATTCATCTTATCAGAGCCTTCCTGCCTTCTAGTCTCTCCTTAAGTAAAGGAAGGCTGTAATCCTAGCACTGAGGAGGCTGAGGCAGGACGATCTAGGAAGGCTGAAGTTGCCTGCGCCGTTTCTGATTTAATCTAGAGTTCTCTGCAGACATTTGTCCAACAAGTTAAAGATGTTGCCTTGTGGCAGCCGCTCAGCCTGCATGCAGCCTAAACTGTGGTTAATGCAGGCAGTGGCTTTGCAGAGGACTCGACATTGCTTGTGCCCTCCGGTGCTGCCAGAGTACCCCGAGCTCGTGGACACGAAACGAGGTTATCAGAGCAGCTCAGGCTGAGTGTGCTCCAGACAAACATAGCTTCACCGGAGCCCTTGGAAGGCACGGTGTCAGCAGCCTGCACCCTGAGAGCTGATCTCACTTTTGGGGTGGTTATGAAGGTGCAAGGCCCACCTGTGATTTTTGGAAAAACCTTCACACGGCTGCTTCTGTGAGTGGACCGGGCAGTGGTGTGTGGTCATGGCAGGGAGCTGGCAGGAGGGTGGGGAGTGCTCCCTGGGCTCTGCAGGTCAGCCACACAGATGCGCTAGCGCTGAGGAAGCTTCAGCTCCCTGCCATCTACAGTGCTCCTCCTCTGTCTTCGGCTCCTGTGTCTCTACCTGGCAGTAAAGTCCTGGAAACAAGTGTTACTTCCTGCAGTTCTCCAGTGGCTTCTCGCCATGCTCACAGCTGCCCAATGTGTTTCTCCCTCAGGATTTTTATTTACTCTGTGTGTGTGTGCATGCCAGGAATCAAACTCAGGGCCTTGTACTTTACAGCCAGGCACCGTGCCACTAAGCTACATCCCTGGCCCTATTTACTTATTTTTGAGACAAGGTCTTGCTGTGTAGTTTAGGATGGCCTGGAACTCAATTATGTAGCCCAGGCTGGCCTCAAACTCATGTCAATTCTGCTTCAGCCTCCCAAGGGCAGGAATCACAGGCATGCGCCACCATGCCCAGCTGCTTTGGGATAATTTAGACTGACATCCACACGTGATTCCAAACCCAGGTACCCACAGGGAGGTTTATATGCTCCATGGCAGTGGTTGGACTGCAGGCTTTTATATCCCTAGCTCTTTCCCCTTTTCCGCCCCCGTCTCTTGGCCAGGGTCTAAGTTATGAAGCCTGGCCTCAAATTTGTAATCCTCCTGCCTCAGCCTCCTGAGTAGCTGGGATAATAGGCTTGCTTCACCATGCCTGGCTCATTTGAAGTTTCTAATTGGTAAAATTTCCTGTTTCATTTACTGTTACTGATTTTTTTTTGGTACCGGGAATTGGACTCAGGGCTGAGAGCTTGCCAGGCAGGCGCGGTGCCGCTGAGCTACATCCCGGCCCCGTTTACTGTTTGTACTGGGTTTCATGTTGCTTACATCGGAGTGCGAAATGCTCAAGTCAGCCCAGCCTGGTAGCCTCCCAGTCAAAACAGTGTTTACACCTGGCATTTGACCGATCAGCCCAAACAAATTCAGGATAGAAATCACAAAAAGGCAAGCCAGTCCCCACGGTTGCTGCTCGTCTGGGTGCCCCAGCACACCCCGGCTGCTCTCCCCAGTTGGAGGCAGAAATCAGGCAGAGGCCCTGGGTGCCTTGCAGGAGGCTTTATCGGAGCTGTGCTAAGCGCGTGCATTGTCCAGTTCCCAGGCCCGCAGTCTGGCGACGCCAAGAATGTCCCTCGAGGCTCTGAGTGACTGCTTCCTCTCCAGTCCCTGCTTCATCCCAGGGGAGCCTACCCGGGAAGATGAGTTTGTGCTTCCTTCAGTGAGTCCTTCCGTCACACACAGTCACCCCCTAACGGCTTTGAAGCTCACCGAATTTGGTACTCGACACACTTGCATGAGAAAACTTGGGCCTGTTTCTTGTTTGTTTGGTACCCAACACAGGAACTGGGCCTCATCGGTGCCAGTTGCCCTGGGACTTGCTGCCC